GTGAGGATATCAACAGTCATGGAGTGAAGGGTGGGGGCGGCAAGATAGAGTTGGGTGTCATCTGCATACGTGAGGCAATTGACCCCATACTTTCGGATGACATCGCCGAGTGGGAGCATGTATCGATTGAAGAGGAGGGGACTGAGAACAGAGCCCTGAGGGATGCCACATGTGACAGTGCAGGGGCTAAAGGAGAAGCCGTTGGTGGCCACGAAGTGCAGATGGTGGGAAAGGTAGGACTGGAATGAGGCAAGAGCAGATCCATTGAGATGGAAGTGAGAGGAGAGGCAGTGGAGAATAGAGTGGTCAACAGTATCGAAAGTGGCTGAGAGGTCGAGAAGGACGAGGAGACAGAGAGAGCCCTGGTCGCAGGTGGACAGAATGTCATTTGTCACTTTGACCAGGGCTGTCTCTGTGTTGTGAGCAGCACGAAACTCAGATGGGAGGGGTTCATGGAGGGAATGTTGGGAGAGGAAAGACCGAAGCTGGGAGGCAACATTAGCACAGCATCTGTGTTCCAGACACATCTTTTCTCTCTCTGGTCTGCTTCTGTTATCCTCCTTCGTTTTGCATCAACATCTCTTTAACCCATTACCCTTTGTCCTCCACATCATTTTCTCATTCGTCTTTCTTGCCCCACCTCCCTTCTCTGCTAGTCCTTAAAATCTCTCCCTCCCAACATCCCCCAGTTCTGAAGAAGGGTCTTGAACCACTTTCCTTTCTCCATAGATACTGCCTGACCTGCTGAGTGTTGCCAGCGATCTCTATTCAGAACATGTGGTGAAGACCTCCTTGAGCTAAACCACGTGATGAGATCATACACACACACACACACGTTAACATCATCAGAAGCAACCACATATGCTTCATGCCGTGTTTGTATTCTACTGCTGCCACTGAAAACAGACTCAATATAAACGGGTATCACTGCCAACTCAACACGTACCAACCACCCAATTACAAGTGGGTTTTCATTTTGCCTCCAGAGGCAGCATTGCCCAGAAAGAAGGTTTTGTATTGAGACTGTGGTTGTATATTACTGGGTACGTATGAATTGGAGTTGGTTTGGATCTCTTTGTGGGATGGGGGGAACCTCTAATAATTTACAGTGCAGCTCCAACAGTTCTGATTCAAAAAGGATGCTGACTCACATGCTGATACCGATAACAAAGCCTGATACAACCAGTCAATTGTCATCTAACCAGGGCTGAGAGGCTGGTGCATTAATTGAAAGGAAGATGCCAAGGCTTATTGCAGTGTCCCGATTGCTACCCAGGATGAATTCAGAAAACTCAGGACTAATAGCGATTTGTTCGTTTTTTTCCAAAGTTGCCAAGTCCTGTTCCCTGGTTCAGAAAATATCAGACTCCCCTTTCCTCTCAGTGGCGATATGCCACACCACCGTTGCCACAATCGATCCCACAGTGATTTAACATGAAATGTTATCTGTGATTAAGTAGTCTATAAAAAGAAAATTGGCTTATTTCAAGCACCATAAATGACACATAATTGCAACATTCATTGCTTGTAATGTCCTGCTTACGATGCAGTATTTCATTGTCGTACCATCCCTAAAAACTGACTGCACATTAATAATCTTGCAATCAAAGGCATTGTTGGTGGAACTTAAAGTAAATGTGTTAATGAAAATGAGGGAAATAGTTGTGAGGTATTTAGGGAGCAGAGAAAAAACCCTGAAAGGGGTTTGGAAAGTTCTGGCCAATGTCCACCATTGTGTGATGTTGTTACAATAACTACTTGTGACTGACAGACTCGGTGGGTTTGGGGGGGGAAAGGAACGAAAGCAGACAAGAGGTGAAGACAGGAAAGGGATGTAAATAAAAAAGAAAATACTGATTAAAAATAAACTGAGCGGATTATATTCAAAACTGTCAAAGGCCACGCATGCTTTAAGAGGATCTGAGCATTATTTACTTTGTAAAAGTGTAATTTGCCTGTCAGGAAGCCAGTGCAGTGCATTCAGACTGTAGCATGAAGTGCAAATTACAAATTGACAAATTGCTTCATTTCAAGATTCAGGTGTATTTAGAGCCCATCAGAGGCTGAACCTGCAGTGCTTCCTCTGCCAGCTAAATACAAAAGCCCTAACCTGCAATTGGAGTTACCTGTTTGAGAGATACTGTGAATCCTAGGTCAGGGAGGTCAAGCACCCCTCATCTCCCACATCTACACGAGTAATGACACACTGAAATCAAGCAGCGATGGCTTATGGCAGTAGCTTCCTAGAGTCAAGAGCTGATAATTTGTGTAACCGTGCTGCACATCCCATAATTTCTCTTTCGTATTAAGACATGGTCTCATTCGGAGGGAAAACTACAACACTATTTCACGATAGTGAGACACTGATATTTGACAACTCCTTTAGAGAGACTATCGCTAACTTGAAGAAGATGGAACAAGCCCCCAAAACTATTGTTACTTTTCAAAGTATTTAACTTATTTATTTGTCATTAATTTTCTTCTCACAACTGGCTAAACTCCTGAAATACCTGATATGGTCATGGCTGAAGCAAGGCAATAAAGGGCCTTTAGTTTTATTCTGGAGCCCTCTGAGTAACAAAAGCTGTAGATCAGAGATAAGACTAGGCTGCCACAGGGTTTAGATGCTCTAGGATCCAAAACAAGCAAGTTCCTGGAATCACCCACAACAGTTTATTGGGGCGATAAAAATACTGCATCTTCACAGATTCACAAACAGGAACTGAATCAAAACAATCTTGATAAGAGATATCAACCCCGTTCGCAGCCAAATCCGCAAATCTGTAAAAGTGGCACAGTGCTTCTTAACTCTTGGACAAGTAGGAAAAGCATAGTTACAACACCTTATAATGCCAAAACGCTTGAAAGTGCTTCATAGGTAATTACTTGTCAATGGCAGACAACACAGCAGCCATTTTCATCAGCAAGTTTCCTAAAATAGCCACAAATAAATGACCAATTAATCTGAAGGACTATAGAAGTGGACTGGAAGACATTCCCTTCTCTTTTCAAACACGGTCATTAGATCTTTAACCTCCACTGAGCAGGCAGATAGGACCTTGGTTTTATGTCTCATTTGAAAGATGGCATCTCCAACAATGCAGTGCTCCCCTAGTTCGACACAGCAGTCAATCTAAATTGTGAGGTCAAATCCTAATGGGGGCCTTATGCTGTCTGTCATCTGACACAAAGGCAAAGTGCTACCAACTGAACCAAGATGACACTGCAAGTCTCAAACAACACCTGTTCTTAATTTTCAACAGATGCAACTATTGGATGAAGCAGTCCAAGCATCAATCAACTAATGAACTAACAGTACGCAGAATTTGTCCCGAAGTAAAATGCACATTTCATCGCACAGCAAACTATCAGTTAAGGTGGAGAAGGTCAGGGATCCTAACACAAGAGTTTTTTTGCTGAATTGCTTTTAGTAATATCAACCCATGGAAATTATTTTGAGTCAACAGGTAACAAGCAGGTTACTGCGTGGAAGGAAAGATGCACTGGAGCCAGAGCAAGAAGCAGAGCTGAGGGCACCTTTCAAATGGTTCCTCAGTGTCTGTGCTTCTCTTGTTTAATTGTGAAAGGTTCATGTGAGTGAAATGACACAGATGTAGTCAACTGGGCACTTTTCAAATATTTTGCTTGTAGCAAAATATCAGCAAACACACACACATACACACTGTTGTGATTTAAATGAAACAAATGCAAATCATCTCTTGCGTCCCACATAGTTTTTAGAACCCTTATTATCCTTGTTCTCTAGATAATAAGGTCCTGGTATGAGTTGTTGCTTCCCAGCTTCGATCCTTCCTCTCCCGACTCTCTCTTCACGAACCCCTCCAATCGGTGTCCGTGCCGCCCACAGCACAGAAACAGCTTTGGTCAAAGTGACAAATGACATTCTGTCCATCTGCAACCAGGACTCCCTCTGCTTCCTCGTCCTCATTGACCTCTCTGCTGCCTTCGACACTGGCTCTGTCCTTGGTCCCCTCCTCTTCAATATCTATATGCTCCCTCTTGGTGACATCATCCGCAGACATGGGGTCAACTTCCACATGTATGCGGATGACACCCAACTCTGCCTCTCTGCCTCCACCCTTGACTCCAGGACCACTGCTGTCCTGACAGAATATCTGTTAGACATGAAGTCCTGGTTGAGAGCTAATTCTCTTTAGTTGAACATCAACAAGACTCATGCTCTCCTGATTGGCTCCCAGCATCTCCACACCTCAGGCACTGACAGCATCACCATCCATGGATGCACACTCCCACCCTCCTTTACCTCCTTCAAGACTCATCTTAAGATCCTTCTCTTCGACCGTGCTTTTGATCACGCTGCTTTTCCCCCAACCCTCCACCATCCCTGATCACGACTCCCAGCTCAGGTCCAAAACTCTGACTGCCCAGCGCCTTGGGACGTCCTCTCAACATGAAAGGCGGTATACAAATGTAAGTTTGTTGCTGTTGTTGTTCTCACATTCAAACCCTTCACAGTCTCTCGCCACCTTCCCTCTGCGACCTCTTTCAACAGCACCCACCTGGCCACTCCCTTTGCTCAGCAAACTTCATGTACCCCACTCTATCTACTCCATCATTGGCAGGCAGACTTTCAGCCATTCTGCTCCTGCTCTCTAGAACGCCATCCTTGAGTCCCTACAATTTGCTCACTCCCTCCCTTCCCTCGTTCAAGGCCCTTCTCAAAACGTAGCTGTTTAACCACAGCTTTTGGTCATCTTTTCCCTCACCAACCCTATCAGCTTCCACCCACAGCTCTGTCAAGTGCTTTGAGCCGTACTCCTGATGTGAAATTGTATTGTTATACTGTCCCTCAAATAACATACCAAAGTTAACCTCTAGGCAGACCACATCTTATTATCAGAAATACACTGCACACATAGCCAGATTATCAGCAACACTCTTAAAATAACTCTTCATCACCCAAATGAAATTGGGAAAGGTGTCAAGGATGATCCTGCCTCAGATCAGAAAGCTCCTACCTGCGGCAATGGCCATCTTTTTGTTCACAGTGACTACCACAGCCGTGGTGACTATTACCGTTTCACTTCTGCTCTTCATCCCTAGTAAGAGATATATGAGAACAAAGGAAGATAATCATCAAATGCCAGCCTTTATTAACATTCACAAAATAACTACTTGCTGGTTTGCAGTGTACTGCTATTACTAAAGTTGTCTTAAAGTGATGCAAGTGATATTTTATTAGGGTCATAAGCAGAGATTCTCTGGTCTGCCATTTAAAACCTCTTATCTCATCTAATCACAAAAATCAGATGACACAAAGAATCACAAAGCACAGATATCACACAGGAACATCTCATGCCATACATACAATGCATTTGCTGCAAGCAAATATGGTCAAAACACCAATATTTTGCCTGCCCTTTAAACCGAAGTTTCAAAGTAGGCTATGCCAAAGAATGAGCAAACACAGTCGTGAGATGCACACAAATGCGCATACAGGCAAACATATAGATGCACAACGAAACACACGTGGACAGATAAATATGCATAGACGCGCACATTTGCACACACATAGAAGAAACTGTTCAAGGGAATAAATGAGAATGCTAACCTGTGCCTTCCTCAAAGGGTAAATAGTAGAGGAAACTTCCAGCCGGGGTCTCAGCAGCCCTTCGGAACCAGAGGGGGAAGTGGTCCAAGGTGAAAATATTCTCCTTATCCCCAGTTGTCAAGAATTTTCTGCCAAAGCAATACAATGAACCATCAGAGATTATCTAGACAAGGTGTCTTAATCACTGCCAATTCAGAGAAGATAATTCACGATGATTTACTATGGTGGAGCAACTGTGCATTTGTAGGCAAATGCAGCATCCAAATTGCATGCAGTGTAATCCTTAAATAACCACAAGGTTTGCAGGTTTGCAGTACAAGGTGAATGACCAATTTTATTAGGCAGATTGTTGACCAGGACACCAGAAGAAACTCCACTCTCTTTTTGAATAGTGCCATCTGAACAGACAGTACCTGGTTTACAATCTCATCTGAAGGACTGCACTTCTGACAATGCAATACCCCCCACCATTGTATTGGATTGTCAGCCTAGACTATGTAAGGTCATATGTATGGGGTTTGAACTCACAAGCTGTCTCCCTGTTCAAGTAAAATTGACTGAAATAAAGGAAGTCTCTCCTGGTGTCCTGGCCAACAATCGCCTAAAAATAAAATTGCTCATTTATTTCATGGTTGTTTGTGGGACACTCCTGTGTGTAACTGGGGTGCCATGTTTGCTTACAAACACACAGTCACTCCATTTTACTGTAAATTGTGTGAGGCTCCTTCGGATATCCCTCTGACGTGAAAGGCACTAATAATGCAAGTATTATTTAGGATTATTATTTATTCAAAACCAAGGTTTAATAGATGTTCCAGTTCATCTATACTAATAAAATGACAATGTCTATCTGTCTGTTTGTCTGTCTGTGTGCGCTTCAAGAAAGATCTCAATAACCGCTTGACATAGAGACATAGATTTCTACCTCATTAGAAAGGTCTTGCATTTGGGAGTGACATGGGTATATTTGTTTTCGGGTATCTCCGCTCATTCATGAGCTATGACCTAAAATATATTTCAGTTTGCGGTTTTCCTACAGTTACACCTGGTGGCCACCGAGTCAAAGCGGCGTTGTGGCATCGTGCAGTTACACTTGGTGGCCATGCCAGCTGACCATGGCGCTGTGGTATCCTGCGTTAAAGAGCACGCACGTAGTCAAGCAGCGGTGGGAACAAAATAAAGATGGCAGACGAAGCTAAGCCACGGGAACAACAACAAAATTCCATTTTTAAAGAGCCTTTCACATTGGGAGGATCAGTGACTCTAGTGATTAATCCCAGTGATTATAAATTATATGTTTATATTTATCATTATAAAGATGCCGAAGCGAAAATCAAACCTTTCAAGGATAAGTAAAAATGCTCGACCTAAGCGAGAAGGCCCATTAAATGAAACTGAAGAACAAAGAAGAGCACGTCCGCACTTCAATGCTGAAAGAACCGCAACAGCGCGCCAAAGTGAGTTGGCTACTCAAAGAACAGCACGGCCAAAATGAGTCCTCCCAAAGGAGTCCTCCCAGATGAGTATAGATAAAGATGAAAAGTCTGTCCGTCTGTGTGTCAATCTACATTCCATATTGGAATTCTTTGGTTGCAAGCGAAGCTGCAACAGGTACAGCTGGTATTCAATAAACACACAAGCAAATCTGACATTATTTTTATTTTATGAATTGTACCATTTTCCCTGCAGGTGGCACTGTTGCTGTAATAAAAACATGAGCGCAAGGGTGGCATGTACAATGCTGTTATACAATTCCTTTTGTGGATATCATCCATTTTAGATTTCACAAGCGGCAAATGATTCCCGAATTTTTTTACATGATTCACTATCCAGGTTATCCCACCTATTCTCTGGAGACTTGCTGTGAACTCTTTTTGGAACAGATTTAAACTAAATTATCCATACTGGATGCAAATATTCAATTATGTTGAACACGGTTCTATTTTCTTATAGCAGAACTGCTAAAGTGCATGAATATGTATCTGCATAAATAAGTACAAGGTGTGCAATGTAACCCTCCGTGTTTGTGGTATGGTAATACACTGACAAATGGCCCATTGGCCCAGGGTTTCATTCCCATCCTTAACTTTGATTCAACAGATACAACAACATCTTGCATTTATGTAGCGCTCTTCATGCAGAGTAGCGTCCCAGAGCGATTGACAGTGGCGGAGCACAATGTCAACCCGGGAGGAGGTGACCGTAGGCACGGTTGAAGAGGAAGGTCTTCAGGCATGACCTGAAGATGGGGGAGGATGGGGCAAGGCGGAGGGATTGAGGAAGAGTGTTCCAGAGTTTCAGGGATAAGTGGCTGAAAGCGTGGATATCCTTTTCAGGTGGTGCTTCCGTTTTATGTATCTGAGTTCCCGGGCAGAGGTGACTGTGGTGGTAGATAATTCCATGGTGGTGTTGAATGGAGGGAGGGTCAGATATTTGTGGAGACAAGTATCTCCTTGTGCCACTTCTGCCTGCTGTCAGAGAACATTAATAATAACCGTGAAGCAGTCAGTAGCGCAGAATGTTACTCTCTGCCACGACCATGTGAGAAATTGTTATGGAGGCTGCAATTAGCAAAATGGAATAAACCTGAAAATCTGATTATATACAGTTGGTTCTGATCGATGAGGAAACCTGCAGTATAATAATAATCCTTGCATTTGATATACCACTTTATCACAACATCATATTATTCACAGGATTTACTGTTTAGTGTAGTGACTGCGCATTTGAAGGCAAACAATAATGCCCCACCAACGCTTTTTGAACAGTGTTAGGGGATCTTTAATATCCGCCCAAACTGGCAGAAGGAACCTCAGTTCAATGAGAAGTACAACACCTTTGCCAATGCAGCACACCCCCATGACTGTATTGAAGTGTCAGCCTAGACTACAAGCTCAAAATCCCAACCTGGGGTCTGAACCCAGTTACATCGGACTCGGAAAACACCAGGCTGACACCTAAACCAAAGGATGCAGAGAAAATTGTGAGACTGGTTAAATATATTACACAGGTGCCATAGTTAACTTACAGGAGCTGTAGACCATGTGTACAGGAGGCATTGAGCATTATACAGAAGAGCTACAGATACTTATATAGCTGCTGCATCTATTCCTTGTCCTGATCTGACATGCCAGCACCCTCTATTGCCCTAAGACAGCGCACAAGTGCAGGCAGACAGCACCCAGACATTGCCAATGTGAGTGATGTTTATCAGTGTTTGCTGAACAATTTTAGGAGATGAAACTGAGATACGCGACACACCAAACAATATACATATACTTTAACAGGTCCAAGACCCTTATACTGAGATTTTATATCATATATAAGAGAATGGTTAGGATGAGTATATGACTTTAACAATAATAATAATCCTTGCATTTGATATAGCCCCTTATTACTTATTTGAGACATCTCAGAGCACTTTCTAGCCAGAATATACTGTAAAGTGAATTGACTGCATATTTTTGGGGCAAAACCCGGTAGTGGAGTCCTGTAGCTCAGTGGTAAGAGCACTCGCTTTGTAAGTGAGAGACCTAAGTTCAATTCCAGGCAGGGCGAAACCTTGGGCAAGTTTCCTTACTCCACACGCCTAATAATAATCCCTCCAAAAACCAAAAACAATAATTAAATTGGTCATTTTCAATCTACGACTGTTTGTGGGACATTGGTGTGCGCAATTGGCTGCCGCGTTCGCCCACAAACATACAGTCAATTCACTTTACAGGTGTTCTGTGAAGCGCTTTGGGACGTCCGCCCGACGTGAAAAGCGCTATATCAAATGCAAGGATTATTATATTATTATAGTCAATTGCCAGAATCAAACCCAGGCCCTCTTGCTTGCGAGTCGAATGGGCTAACCACTACATTACAGGACTATAGTGTGCCTGACTTGTTAAGTACTCACTGGTTGGTGAGCTTCTCCTTTCCCACAAAGAGGCTTTTTCGCATCAGACCTGCACGAGTGCCCAGGAAAGCCATTTCAATGCCATCCTCATTTGTTCTGCATTACAGTATAAAGAAAGAGGTTTTGATTGAAGTGAAAATGGATAAAAAACATGCACAAGAGTATGTACCAGTAATGTTTATATTTGATGTTGCACCTTTCATGCCAGGAGGACATCCCAAAGCGATTCATAGGATTTGCTGTGAAGTGTCCTGACTTGGCATTTTGTTGGCAGCAGCCAATTTGTGCACAGCAATGTCTCACAAACAGCCATGAAGTGAATGACCCGAAGGATTGTTTTGCCAGGAGTCCGAGAGAAACTCCCTTTTCTTTCTGAATAGTACCACAGGATCTTCAACATCCGTCTGAACAGACAGGTGGAACCTCGGTTTAATGTCTCATCTGAAAGACATACCCTCTAACAGAGAAGCGATCTCCCAACACTGCACTGGAATGACAGTCAAGACTGTGAGTTCAAAGTCTTGATGTAAGGCTTAACTCCACAATGTTCTGACAGAGAGTGCTGCCAACTGGGCTAGTCTGACACCCTATATATATAGGACTAGACAAAGGAAGCTTAAGAAACCATATAATGTGTCTGGTAACAAAGGGTTAAAGGTAGGCTGTCATTAACCTGTAGTAAGCCTGATACCATAACTACTACCATCCAATTGTTTCTCAGCATGCAATGAACTTCTGTCAGTTAAGCAATGTAGTGACTAAAATCTTCCACAAAATCTAAAAATTCTGAACTTCAGTGGTTTCCCATGTTTTAAAAAGTCTATAATAATTATTACAAATATCATGAACTTATTTTTCAAAAAAAAACTTTGATTATAAGGGATGTAATTATATTTAAGTAGTGGGTGCAAGCAGTGGGAGCTGAATAATGTGTGGAAGCCATATTAATGCACGCAACTCCCCACACACATAACCTTACAGACTGCATGACCATCACTTTTAATTCAACTCCCACACTGTATCAGAGCTCAGTTCCCTCACTGTTGCCATCAGCATCCAACATATAACTCAGCACAGAGATAAACAAAAGGGTATTAATACTAGTGATAATCATTTGCCATTCATTTTTAAAAGACAACCTGATGGCAACGCTCACTAACTCACCACTTAGTTAGTCGGTGGTGGGAGGGAGGGAAAAACTTCCTGACAGCAAATATAATTTCCTCCCAATAGCCAAACTGAACCACTGATGGCGGTGGAGACCTTTCTTTTCGACCGTGCCTACGGTCACCCCCTCCTTCCCCCCAGCTCGGCGTCATGCTCTACCACCGTCAAGCACTCTGGGCCTCTATATAAATGCAAGTTGTTGTTGTTGTGGAGACACCGAGGTTCTGAATTATTCCGTCCTACCGAATGACCCAAAAAGTTTTTATTTATGATATTTTAGAAACACTTCACTGGTATTATTGTTTAGTTTTTGTTACAGCTACACTTACTCAGAGGTGTTCATGGCTATTGCTGTCCAGTAAGCCTCAAGTGGAGCAGTCACTACGGCATCAAAGAGAACCTCCTGGACTAGTTCTTCATCGCCTAAGCAGAAAAGGTCAAGAGAACAAGTGACAAGGGCATTTGTTTCAGACAAAATATTAAAAACATTACCACCAATAATATGCCTTACCACCAATAATATGTTTTACCACCATTGCACCAGTGTGATTTTCCCATAACAAACCCGCTATCTTAGTGAGCTGGAGCAGATCAATTAAGATGTACAATCATTTGGTGCAACATTTGGCACAACATGGGCAATTTGCTACTGTAGGCTCACATTGACCAGGAACTAGGTTACTTCTGCTCAATATAATTTCACAGAGGATACTTGCAAAGGAGGGGAGATTTTCATTTAAAAGCTTGGGCTGGATTATAATCCAGATCCCAGAGCTGGAGGGGCAGTGTGCTAATCTACTGTGCCATGCGATCATTTGTCTCCTCAGTTATGTGTACGTTGTAATAACAATAATAATCCTTGCATTTGATATTGCGCCTTATTATGTCTTCGAAATATCTCGAACCACTTCATAGAATACACTGTAAAGTGAATTGACTGTATATTTTGTGGGTAAAATGCAGCAGCCAATTGCGCACAGCAGTGTCCCACAACCAGTCGTGGATTGAGTGACCCATTATTATTTTCTTTTGAAGGGATTATTACCCCTGGAAAGCGATCCACCAATTGACTAACAACCGGATTCCTACTTACTGCTACGTAAACAGGAGTGTGGAGCAAAGAAACTTGCCCAACATTTCGCCCTGCCCAGGAATTGAACCTAGGTCCTCTTGCTTGCAAGGCGAGTACTCTAACCAATACACTACAGGATAAATCGTGATAAAAGCACAAGTAACAAATAATGGGAGTGTTAACCACTCATCTTCCACTCCCAACGATAGGGAGAGGAGATTAGTACAGAAGCAGCTATCTTTGTAAATGCCCCCTTTACAATGTCCGTTATAACATTATCTTTGCTATACATCCTCCTTATAATCTCTCGGTTCTAACACTTTTTGTTCTATGCTTTCATAATCACTGTTAAAACACTATCTTCATTCTACACATTGCAAAGCAGTGTGCTCACAGTCCAAGTCTGGATCCTCTCCAGTGAGGTAGCGAGTAACAGCCTCGAGTTGGCTCAGCTTGCGATGGTCTGGATCAATGTCAGTTACACAGTAAATCCTAGTAAGGAGAAAGAAATGAGCCAGTCTTCAGTTACAGTTTATTCAGTGAATCTGTCAAGTCAACAAGGAGATGCAAATCACCATAACTTCACAAAGTAACCAAGAATATAAGATCCTAATCACAATAGCAAACTGAAGCAATTTGTTTTGATTGATTGCTCAAACTGTTGTACATTAATGACTGCATTTAAGGAGCTTTCAGCACATTCCAGACAATGTATCAGTATATATTACAACTGTTTCTGTGAATTCTGATACAGCTGATACCAACAATTGATCAGGAAAGATACACAAGTTGGCTAAGTGGTGCTCTACAGCACTTCTTCACTAGTTATCCCTGTAACATCTAACTGCAGCATAAGCATTGAAGCTCCTGAAACTCAGGGTGTAATTGCTCGGAATCCCAAAGTCAATGCCTGGCCAACCATCGCTCAACTCACCTGACTGCTGGTGAAACATGAGCAGCAACCAGGAATCACCTACTTGACTATCATTTGTCCAAGGAATGAGTTGTAGAAAAGGCTTAAACAGGCTATGAATTACATTGGATGGCTTCTTACCATTCGTCTGCCAGTGACACATCAGGCTGGAGTAAATCGTGCAACCCTGAAATGTTGTTAAAAAACAGAACATTGAAAAACCTGCTGTTTCTTCCAAAACTCCAAACCAAATATCAAATCAATAAACAAACAAACAAACAAACATCAGCAAATCCTCAAAAATAGAGTAGCAATTTGGGGGGTGACCTTTCATTATAATTGAAATGACTGGACTCGAGATAAGAAGGGTGAGCTGGCACAGCCCCAGAAACAAAGACATTAACCACGACTATAAACACAATAATGCAGCTAACATCACTCGGCAGAATTAAGAAGAAAACTTCTGGGGTTGACAACCTGGAATAAAATGCTGGAAATCCACAACAAGCCAAACAACATTGGAATGTGAAAACTTGGTTTACATTTTGGTGATGACTATTTATCAGGGCCAATGAGTCAGTAATAGATTGTGAAATGCTGGAGAGAGACACAGAAGCCACAATGGGAAATGTAGCGCGAGAGTCACGACATGTGTCTGCACCAAGTAAGACAGAAGCATGGAATCATAGAATCATAGAATTATACAGCACAGAAGGAGGCCATTCGGCACAATGTGCCTGTGCCAGCTCTTTGAAAAGAGCTATCCAATTCAATCCCACTTCCCCGCTCTCTCCCCATAACCCTGCAAACTTGTCCTCGCCAAATAATTATCTAAGTAGATGAACCAGAAAGAGAATGAAAACCTCTGCAACACCCTGGCTGGCAATTTGGCCTAAATTCAAGTCCGTTATCCAGCATTTCTATCTCTCTCCTGCCTGAGCACCAAGTTTGTATCTTATCGTAGTGAGTTTCAAATGAACACTCTGTGGAGGTTTTCCCAGGGTTATAGAAGTTCACTAACCCTCCACTCCAACAGACAGTGGCTACCATTCCTGACCTACATTTGCTCTTTAAAAGAGCCAGCACAGACATGATGGATAGAATGCCTTATTCTGTGCTGTAGATTTCTATGGTTCTATAATTGGAAGATGTTTCACTTAATGAAGGGAAACCATGTCCTGTGGATTTTCACTGCAGCAAAGCTCCCCGAGGCATTCAATCCTTCTTGCCAAAACCTCCAAATTTAAATCCACAGCCTTTTCTGGCACTGTTATGATATTATGTACCTATTTGGTTTTATGCACCCTGCATTTTTAAATTGTTCTTTGTATCATCCCTTCCTATACTGCATTGCAAGATGATATTATTCTTATTGTACAAACTGTTTTGGCTGATAATTTTCTTATTTGCATAAGTTAAAAATAAAATGGCACTCATTCAGGGAGATATAAGATTAGTACATTGAGAACACAAAATGGTAAACTCCCACCTTCTTCCACGGATACGTTTCCCACGAATATATATTCTCCATGTCCTCTGGAAAGAACGACACACAGACTGAAAGAGAAAGCATTTCAATACAACGGTTACCAGTACAGTTGAGAGTATTGTAGGCATATCATAAGAGAGAAAGGATTTTCTGCCCCTATCCTGGCCAACAATCTTCCAACATAAAATTGGTCACTCACTTCATAACTGTTTGTGGGATATTGCTGTGTGCAAATTAGCTGTCGTGTGCACCGACAATACACAGTCACTACACTCACAGTAAAATCCTGTGAAGTACTTTGAGAGTCTCAACAACGTGATAAGGTATGATATCAAATGCAAAGATTGTTATTGTTTTATTATTATTATGATTATTGTAGGTAAGTACATAACATGAATTACAGCAGATACGATTTGATGACAAACAATGTTTGCATTTTATTTTGCTTCTCTAACAATTTCTTATTTACTGTATTGTAGTATTGGGAGTGTGCTGCATTGTCAGAGGTACCATCCTTCAGTTGAGAAGTTAAACAGGCACACCAAGACCTTTGTTTAAGTGGATATGAAAGATCCTACAACACTATTCCAAAAGAGAAGGGAGTTTAATTTGATAGCTGTGGGATCTTGCTGTTTGAAGTTTTCTTCTATGTTTGACCACAAATATATGGTGGCTACACTTACCCGTATAGTGCTTTGAGACATTTTGGTTCCATATCAAATGCAAGGGAGATGATTTTTATTATACAATATTTAGGTACAATATACAATGAACACGCGGATTCACAACTCAGTCAATCCTATTCACTGGATAACTGATGTATCCAGTAAATCCTCTATTTGGCTGCATTGTTCAGCCCCTGAGATGATACTCATGAAACAATATATTTTCTCAGAACTATTTTCTCTCCTTATATGGCGTAAGAGAGAAGCTATGTTCCCAGCAGCTACTCGCTGCAGAATATCCCACGCTTAGCAACATATGTTCCCCTGGCAACAACATTCCCCATCAATGAACAGCAGACTTCAACTCGCCTGCCACTGTGCCCTTAGGCAAAGCCATGACAACAGAAGTAGAAACAATTACTGTTTGGCTTCCTTTTGATCGGATATCACATCACTTTTTCAATCACATCATTCTTTTAGCCTATGTTTTGATCTATAGTCAAGGTAAAACTACAAATTCTACAGCTTTAAATTGCCATTGATGGTAAATATTCGCCTACGAAATACTGTGAAGTACTTGAGAAGTCCTGACGATGAGATAAGGTGCAAGTAATGCCAGATGCAAGGATTATTCTAAACTAAAGTAAGTTAGTCTTAGGAGCCGTTTGATAGGTTGGTTATTTTATAGAAGGACCTGACCTGATTTGACTGACATCACAACCTGGCTGACACGCATTTAGTGTTGCGGATCTTCTATTTTCCTAATGTATATTTCTATACAGAAAATCCCAATAGCACAAAAAGTGGACCAAGGATCTCACCTGAAAGGTGTGTCAGCGATGTGTATGTAGAAATAGTCATTGGTTAGAAATAAGACTCGTTTCTGTAGGTACAACAGGAGAGAATAAAAACCCTCAATTAAATCCGAAAAACTGAATCCGGACATTCAAAATGTGTTTGCTACCGCACTTGTGAAGTCGCACATGGTAGGGATGGTGGTGTAGTGACAGGCTGAGCTATGCTGTCACTATGTGTCATCCCTATTTCCCCTTCATCCTTGTGTTTCCCCCTCTCCACCCCAGAGACCTGCAAAAATCAATCGTGATTTCCCCTATTTCAAGAGCATCACATAATCTGAGGCAGCAGGTATAAAAGCCTTGCTTTAAAGATACATTGGGGCCAGTGACAGACCACTTTACAGAAAAAACAATCAATCACTTGATTCAAATGCAATTTGCTGACCACTGCATGATCCATGTACAACGTCAAAAATAGGAGGGAATTGTATTAGTTATGGTGGGAATGAGGTTCACCCTTTAGAAGCCTGCTCTTGATGGAGCATATGTGGATCTACAAGAATATGAGAATGCTTCGAGCCAGAAACCATCCTTAAGTGGAGAGTGGAAAGACACTAAGTTCAGTCGTCAAATGATTAAACGAATATGAACTTTGATTCAGTGCGTCACAATGACTGAATGCAATTAATATAAATGTATCTCTTACCCCTTTGTCAACCGGTACTCTCACATCCATCGATAACATCCCGGTCTCTCCATTCACCAAAGCTGTCCTTAGCTGCACAACCAAAAGACATTGGCTTTCAATAGTGAGGCAATTAAAGTCACAAATTTGGTTTACTTCACTAAATACCAGTAGTTATCTTAAAAATGACAACAGTTATAAAACATCAAAAGCAATAAATATATTGAAAAACAAAAGCAATCTTCCCGCTTTACTCTTAAGTCTCTTCCTCCTCCACGACTCCCCACTGTGTTAAAATGAAGACGAAGGCAGTTTAGCCTTCCTCCCACAATATCCAGGCTTGGTGTAATTTAGCCACTACCTTTGGATTTATCTTATCTTTCTTCTATTATTCTTAAACCTTGATGAGGTTCTGCATTGTAGATCTTGCCGCTTCACCTTGGCTTCTTGATAAAACAATTTAATTCTCCCATTAATTTCTGCTCTCCTCTTCAAAAGGTTCTGACTTATAACTGATGCTTGCTTACAGTTCCAGTTTATACTACATGAATGAAGAGGCCATTATTCATGAGTGAGCAGGGACAGTATGCTTTGGAAGGGTATTTGACCGCAGAGGACATCAGAGTCATATCCAAACATTTGCAATTCAAAATCCTTTATTTTATGATTCTCTGCAGTTCTATTCTCATTAGAGCGAGGGATGTCTGTGGAGTGCAAATATATTTTGCGATTACATTTAGTTATCTGTATTGAACACTCTCCTGCTCAAGGATGGCAGAGGTTAGGTGCCGTTTCAGAGCTCTCTCTGTTCTGGATTTCAATCATCTACAAAATAAGGTGCTTCCTCGGGTAATCTGCAAGATTTCCAGTAAAGTAATTATGACTGTGATGTGAATTCAGTTGGACACTTGCATCATTTTCCAGAACAGAGAAGAAAGACAACAGTTTGGAACATTTTCTACATGTTTGGAAATGGACCCACCTAAGTGAGTCACCTTAGCTATGGCACTAGACAATTTTCTGATATTTATTTGCTTTCAAACAAGGAAGACAGGCTGAACTGTTTAGAGTAGAACGGGAATAATGTCCTTTAGAAACAGACATCGTGGACTTATATTTGCACATATAATTAGGCAGAATCTTAACAAAAGAACAAAACTTAACTTACAAACTCATCTTTGTCTTCCCACTCAACATCCAAAATGTCCACACTGTTGTAGTTCGGCTTTGGTTTCAACTTTGCTCCGTCTTTGTACTGGAACGTGAATAGGAACCCATTAATATCCCAGTGATCAAATGAAGCCCTGGCTTAGTTGGCAGCACACTCACCTTGGGTCACAAGATTGTGGGTTCAAGCCCAACATCAGGACTTTGTGATCATAGTCTAAGCTCACCCTTCTGTGCAGTGCTGGGGGAGCTGCATTGCCAAAGGTGCTGTCTTTCAGATGAGATACTAAACTGAGGTCATATCTATCCATTTAGGTCTATCTATTTATATCTATCTGAAGTCATATCTATCAACTCTCAATATATCAGCAGCTCTATTCGTAAAAGAGATTTTCTCCTGATAATATTTGTCATTCACTTTATGGCTGTCTGTGGAACATGCTGTGCACAAATTGGCTGCTGGGTTCGCTGACAATTACACATTTTTACAGAAATTTTGTGAAGAACATTGAGGCATTGTACATTGAAGAGCTATTTCCAACGCAAAGATTATTATTAATAATGCAACAATGAGGTAACAACGTGGAGTCCTGTAGCTCAGTGGTTAGAGCACTCGCTTTGCAAGCGAGAGACCTGAGTTCAATTCCAGGCAGGGCGAAACCTTGGGCAAGTTTCCTTACTCCACACGCCTAATAATAATCCCTCCAAAAACCAAAAACAATAATTAAATTGGTCATTTTCAATCCATAACTGTTTGTGGGACATTGCTGTGCGCAATTGACTGCCGAGTTCGCCCACAAATGTACAGTCAATTCACTTTACAGTGTGTTCTGTGAAGCGCTTTGGGATGTCCTCCCGACGTGAAAAGCGCTATATCAAATGCAAGGATTATTATTATTATTATTATTATAACGTGGAGTCCTGTAGCTCAGTAGTTAGAGCACTCGCCTCACAAGCGGGTTCTATTCCCGGCAGAGTGAAATGTTGGGCAAGTTTCCTTATTCCACACCCCTCTGTTTACCTAGCAGTAAGTAGGAACCCGGTTGTTAGTCGATTGGGCGATCGCTTTTCCGGGGATAATATTCCCTCAAAAAAAATAATAATTTGGTCACTCAAGCCACGACTGTTTGTGGGACACTGCTGTGCACAATTGGCTGCTGCATTTCGCCCACAAATATACAGTCAATTCATTTTACAGTATATTCTGTGAAATGCTTTGAGACGTCTAGAAGACGTGAAAAGCGCTATGTCAAATGCAAGGATTATAATGTGGCACAAAGTGTGGGGTGCAGGTTCCCTTTCTCTCCTGCAATATTCAGAGGGGAAGCTTCGAAATGAAGATAGACACTTCCCAACAGGGATTATCAGAGGTAACATTTCCCATCTCTTCCGGTTTATGTCCTACTGACTATTTGGTCAAGAATATTAGCTGTGCCTTGGAAACAAGTTGTCTCCTTTGCTTTTATTTTGGGCAGTACAAGGACACCTTCAAACTATGAAGTAGAAAGAAAAAAGTTACAATAATTGTAAAAATTTAGAAAGTGTTTGTGTAACTATAAGAAAGTAACAAAACATAAAGCAAGAAAACAACCTTCAGCTTGTGAAATGCTTTCCATTCAAAAACCATGCTCAAACGATTGGATGGGCAAGAATTCTCTAAGCTGTTGATGGTGTTTGTTTGCAACAGATCATGAGTTCTGGAAACTGTGCAGGGTGAAAAAACACCAATCACTTTCACATCACATGCTTGAAAAAGTCTCATTGGCACAATGGGAGATTGGAGAAGATAAGATCAATGATTGCTATTGACCACAATCTTATTGTGTACCAGCAATGTGATGCCCTCGGGTTTACTCTATAAAACTGCTACACTGATTCTTTGAAAAAGCACCCAAACATGTTGCAAGGAAATCCAGCATTGCTAAGGTTACAGCCCTTTGTGTGAATGTTTTCTGTTGTACCTGCCACCCAGTGAGAGTTACACAGACCTCCCACTACTCCTGCAAGACTTGCAATTGCAAAGAAGCAACTGCTTTAAGGTGATTAAAACTGTATTTCACATGGTCTGCACTTAAGAGGCAATCTGAGCTCCGCGGGTTGCCGTGGGCTGGCAGTGCTGCAGGCAGTGCTTCTGGAGGCTGGCTTGGGCTCAGGCTATTGCCCTCCTCCGCACTCTCCTGTTACCATGGAGACACCCACAAACGTTGGCACAAGTAAAAAACACTTATCTTCAGTTCTTTCCAAAATAAGACACAATTTAGAATAAAGAAACTAAAGCTTGACTACAAATTAAAGGAGCAGCATGGTTTACTTGTTTTGTACCTTCATGTACTGTGCCCAGCGCCTTGGGATATCATCCCGACATGAAAGGCACTATACAAATGTAATTTTGTATTGTATTGTATGCCGACAGATCCCAAGGAAGAAGCATTCTAATATTGCTTGCTTCTCAGGTGAAGCACATTTCTGTCTCACATTGTCAGGAGGTGGAAACTGTTAAGGACATGGACTTTGTTGGATGGTGCAGAGCAAAGCTTACAGAATAGTTACTGCAAATGCACTCATGTAAACCCAAGTCCCCTGTCTTGCATACATGGTAAAACTCAATAATATACGTTACTACCAATAATATGTCTTACCACCATTGCACCAGTGTGCTTTTCCCAAAACAAACTCACTATTGTAGTGAGTTGGAGTGGATCAATTAAGATGTACAATCATTTAGTGCAACATTTGACGCAACATGGATAATTAGCTACTGTAGGCTCACATTGACTAGGAACTAGGTTACTTCTGCTCAATATAATTTCATATGGGATATTTGCAAAGGAGGGGAGATTTTCATTTAAACGATTGGGCTGGACTCTAATCCAGATCCCAGAGCTGGAGGGGCAGTGTGCTAATCTACTGTACCATACCATCATTTATCTCCTCAGTGATGTGTATTTTGCAATATAATAATAATTCTTGCATATAGCACCTAATGTCTTCGAGTCATCTCAAAGTGCTTCACAAAATATTTTGACAACAAAATATGAATTGACTCTACTGTATATTTTGTGGGCTAAACACACCAGCCAATTGTGTAATGCAGTGTCCCACAAACAGTCATGGATTGAGTGACCAAAATTATTTTTTTATTTGTTTGGGAAGAAGGAAGGGTCTGCGACTATCTTACTTTTCCTCTGCCAAACACTAAGTTACAAATAAAAGGATTCAGTTGAAAAAGTCATTGGCATTCTTATTCACAAACCTGTTGGAACCTGGGATTGCTATGAGACACAATGCTACTGAGCAAGGGCTGAGCCTGGGGAGAAAGGTGTCAGAGAGCAGTGTCTCAGATCCCTAAATGCCAAGACCAGTTACTCTTCACTCAGAATCTGAACAAGAGGTATTGGGTAACATGCATGTGCTCATCTCTCCATCATTTATTGCACAATTTTGCTGCCTCAACATAGAAAGTGTGAAGTTCCTCACCAGGGGCCGTAGATCAGGATGAGCAAGTATGTAGCCATTGTTGGTATTGAGAAATGCATAACCATGGATCCCAAGCTGCACAATAAAAAGAAAAATATTTTTAAATTATGCTAAATCCATGATACTATTAGCACTGTGCGTAAGCAGGAATGGATATGACCAAGTGCTATGCTGCTCCTTGTTCTTTGATATTGGCAGAAAAGCTCAGACGAGAATCAAAACTAGCAGAAGTTGAAGCAAACAATTAGTTCACCATTGTGTTACTGAAGCTCTCCACCTCCCTAAGCTTTTTTTTAAAATGTGTGGACAAATCACACCGAAAGATGAGTTACTCTCCTTATACCGCCCAATAACCAGGGACAATGAAAAGACCAGAAGACAAAACATACACAGCCTCTCCACGTCCACGAGCTGAATTGAGTGCACTCTTGACAGAGCTTGGAGCTTCACTTTATTTCCCAGGAAACACAAGGGTGCATGTGTGGGAGGATATGAAAAGCAGAAGGAGACATATTTTCAAATAAGGAAATTGATTCCTTTGACAAATTTGGTCAACAATGAGTCAGTTTCCAAAAGAATATTAGATATAAGGAGTCAAATGCTTTCAGGAGACAAGGAAAGAAAATTAATGAAGGAAACCAGCACTGAAATATTCCAGCCATCAAAAAAACAGAGTTTAACATAATCTGTTATCCTTCATAAATTCTAGATGTGTCAAATGGTTGCTATAGTAACACTTGTGCCAGTCTTCGACTAAATCTCTAGATTCTGATTGCAGCAGAAACAGAACAGCTGACATCAACACAACACTTTATGTTTTTTAATGCAACAGAGTGTTATTTTTAATATGTGATCTTTTATAAATGAGGCTGCATTGCACCATTCCCCCTGAACAAGAGTACTTCAAGTCAGTTGGAAACTGGCAAGCCACACATCTCTTGAGATAAGATGAAGTTGCAGAGGTGCCAGTGTCATGTTCCTTTACTGAAACTAATCAAGGTTGGTCCATTCAACTCCATACCTATTTCACATACCTGGCGAGGAAGCAAGAGTGCTGCTCTATCAACACTGTTTTTTTTAACAATCACTAATAACTAAATGGGAATGGAAGATAGCAATTTCAACGAGGAGTATCGTTGATCCATTTGTAATTATGCGAAGGCTGAGATGACATTACAACCTTGTAACTGTTCCAACATGTGCACTCCTGTATTTTTAATGACACATTCTGTAGAGTCCCAGATTGTCCCATAGCTTCACTATAGGTCCCAATATGAGTAGTAAGCACAATAGCAACAAAAAAGCTTATTAATAAATATTTGGCTCCTGGGTAATATGACAAAAAGAGCAGGTTCTATCTGTTTTTAGTGAAATCGCAGTTTCAGGAACTTTGTTATTACAAATTAAGGCTTTATTTAGTCCTTTGTAGAAAGTGTTCTTCAGCTGCTGGTTGATGTAATGTCATTTTATATCTGGAGAAGCTTAGCAGGGTCCCAAATCAAGCTCACCCATCACATCTCCCGTTTCCTTGGCAATAATGTGGGATTCCTTAAAGTGCTTCACATTGACTCATGAAACTTTGATTGACAAGATCCACTTTTAGAGAGGAGTTCCTCCAGCTGGGTACAGTCGCAACATAAGATCCCAAAAGCCTTATTGCAACAACAACAACAAGATTCCATTTATAAAGCGCCTTTCACGTCAGGAGGACGTCCTAAGGCGCTGCACAGTTGGGTCAGGACCCGAGCAGGGGGAAATGGTCAGGGTGAGGGGAGGGAAGGGAGGAAGCGAGGAGGGGGGAAATGGTCAGGGTGAGGGGAGGGAAGGGAGGGAGCGAGGAAGGGGAAGAGAGTCGAGAGGGGAGCTGAAGGCTCGGTCAAAGAGAAAGGTTTTGAGACCGGCCTTGAAGGAGGAGAGGGAGGAAGCAAGGCGAAGGCACTGGGGGATGGAGTTCCAGAGCCTAGGGGCTGAGAGGCTGAAGGCCCGACCACCGATGGTAGGGCGATTGGGGCGGGGGACGTGGAGCAGACCGGAGCCGGAGGAACGGAGGGTACGGGCAGGTAGGTAGGGGGATAGTAGGTCAGAGAGGTAGGAGGGAGCAAGGCCGTGGATGGCCTTATAGGTGAGGATGAGGATCTTGAAATCAATCCTCTGGGGGATGGGGAGCCAGTGGAGGCAAGCGAGGGTGGGAGTGATGTGGTCCCGAAGCCTGGTGCGGGACAGTACACGAGCTGCAGAGTTCTGAATGACCTGCAGCTTGTGGAGGGAGGTGGCGGGAAGGCCGGCGAGGAGAGAGTTCCCATAGTCCAGCCTTGAGGTGACGAAGGCGTGGACCAGGGTTTCAGCAGCGTGAGGGGTGAGGTAGTGCCGTAGTCTGGCGATGTTCCGGAGGTGATGGAAGGCGGTGCCAGTTATGGTGCGGATTGCAGGGTGTGACCACTTCTGCATTGTGATGTCAATCATTTTGTGACCTGTAATGTCACAGATCAATCGCACACAAAGTCGGATGGCTTCCTATCCCAATAAAATAACCAAATATCAGGTCATCAGATTGCTTCCAACATCACTTTCCACACACAATGCATGTACAGCATGCTGGAAGTGGTATTGAAACCAATCTGATGATCTGGGCGTCAGCTATATTTCAGTGAGTCGACAGGGTACTTGTAAAACTGTTTTAACTGGCTCTACTGATTACTGGAAGGAATCCCCACTCAGATTCCTTATTTAAGAAATCCTGTTGGAAATCGTTGTATATTGGACCCCAATGTTTAAAATGTCAAGTTTGACAAGAGAATGAAAAAGTAACTGTCATTGACTTGAATATTGCCAGTCTGTAAAAGCCACAATTAGCCTCCCTTACAATAATTTATTCATTTTGTTGCCTCCTGATCACATCTAAGATACTTGCTATAATTATTTCTGACTGACAAATACTGATGCAACTTGCTTACTAATGAAGGACCACATGCTGTTGGGATCGCTGGTCTGCACTGAATCTGAACATGTATATGAATGAGAAAGGTCATGTTGTAATGAAGAGTTACACCCGAACATTAACCTATCTTTCTCTTCCATCTGATAATCAATCTGCAGTGCATTTCCAATGTTTTCTGATTTGACAGTAATTCTGATTTTTCTTTATTTGCTTTAATTTTACGTCATTAGTGATTAATGGCACTAATGCATCGTGGAGCAGCTGGCTTCTTACCTTATACCTCGGGGCTAACTTTAGCAGCTCTCTCAGGGGGACATCTGAACCTGCGACTCCTAGCAGGATCCCATGAGCTCTCTGCAAGGACAGAAGTGAAAGACAGAGTCGTGAATAGACAAGCGGGATTCAGGTTCTTTGGCAATGATGGCACTTTCTACTGCTTCTCTTTTAAATGGAAATTATCATGTTGAGGTTGAGCCCTTAATCCTGGTGGCATTCTAAGTGTCCTTTCAAGCTTTCATCTCCAGTCTCCTCCACCAAAGGAGATGAAATTCATGCCTGCCTCACCCTCCCACTCCCACTTATTGCAATAGATTCTATACTTTTCTAAATATTGTGCTGATTGACAGCTTCCAACTCTAGCTTTTGTGTGTAAAAAAAAGCGTAAGAAAGCAAGGGGGAAAAAAGCCTTATGCCTCAACAGACCTATGTACAATGTGTCCTGTTAGAATCTTGCCACCTATTGAATCTCCTAAGGTCAAGTTCTGTCTATATTGCTCCCTGACCCTCCTACTTAAAACATTTGATCCATAGATTCTCACTGTAAACTCTAGGCTTGCTGACCTCCACAGATATATATATATCCACCAGCCCCATCCAGCAGCACAGGAAATATCCAATCTCTGTAGCTGACAATCCAGGCAAAAACAAAGACAGACTGAGATAGGACAGGCAGAGAAAGTAATAATAATAATCCTTCCATTTGATATAGCGATTTATCATGTCATCGAGACATCTCAAAGGACTTAACAGGATACATTGTACAGTGTAGTGACTGCGTGTTTTGTTGGCGAAATGCGGCAGCCAATTGTGCACATAAAAATCCTTGCATTTGATATAGTACCTTATCACGTCTTTGAGATATCTCAAAGTGCTTCACAGAATACACTGTAAAGTGAATTGACTGTATATTTTGTGAGCGAAATTGCGCTCAGCAGTGTCCCACAAACAGTAGAGACAAGTACTCACGGTTTCATTCTTCTTGCTGAAGACTGGCATCGCGACTGTCGTCATGAGCAGCAAACTTTCTGCAGCCGTTTGAAAGAGCTGTCATGTGAACATGTGGTCAAATGTTAGCCAAAAGACAAGACGGCACTTGAACCTGCAGTCTCCTGGTCTGAGTGACTTAGTAAACTTTACCCACTGGGCCATCAATGGAGCTAGAATATAACTTTCATTTTCACTCTTGATTATTCTACTGTAACTGAATATGTTGTGAAATTATGGCAGAATTAAACAGAGGGGTGATGATAGCCCTGTGACAGCTACATTGGATCCAAAATGCACTATAAGCAAATCAGATTTGTCATATTAATTGGGAATCGCAGCTTCCGAACTTTGAATTATTGATATTTGCAAACACGACTTGTATTTATATTGTGCCTTTCACATGGGGAAAGGTCTCGAGGCACTTTACAGAGATGGTGACAGGCACAGAGCAGGGAAGTAGGGGGAGTGGGGGTGAAGGAAATAGACAATTGTCACCCTTCAGCAATCCAAAGCAGGAAATACCACACATTTTCCAGTCAGTATTACATAGACATGAAGATTATAGAACGTGTTTATACCCAGGCTGAGATCAGATATCTCAGCACAGATGCTGCAGAAATAACATTGAGCAACACTGCAATTTGTCACTCTGAGGGAGGTGCCATTTCTAAACAACATTAGCTGGGCAGAGAGGGTTGTATTGATGAAGCACTGATAGCTTTGCTATTCTCTCTTCAGCTTTTTTTTAAAAAATTCTCTTCACGACCTGCTGAACAAATACCCAATCGCTTTGTTACGGTGACTCACTCTGCTGCAGTCTTAGGCAGCAGACACACACACACATATTGTAGTTAGTTCATATAGCACAGCTCTAAATACACAGCACAGTACATGGTGATGACAGGACACGACACAAGATATTGAACAGCCAGTGATGGTTGTTACCTCCTCGGTATTTGGCAGCTAGCAATGCGATGAAAGTGACAAGGTAGCAATGCGATGGAAGCACAAGGTAGCGAGTAGCGGTGGCAGTGGTGAAGGAGGGGGAAGTTACAAGTGAGAAGAACAGACAGAAATACATAGGTATTAAAGTCAAATATTAAAGCACTTTTAAAAAAACACTAATTTTTAGAAACAATCAAGCAATAGGGTAGATAGAAAGCGCTGGGAAATCCAGATCTTGGATTGCACGAGTTTGTTTAATGGTGTGGACTGATTGTTACAGCATCACACCGTGAACATATGGACCCCAGCAGGAGTCCCACTAAATTCAGTACAACCTGCAGGTAATTACCAAAAACTGAAGTCAACTTACTGATAACACAGTTATTGCCCTACACTTACATTTTTAAACCAATTTCAGTTTGCTTCCTCACCCATCCATTTGCACCCATCTGGGTGCAAATCACCCAGAATTGTCTGTTTTTAAAGACCCTTTTAGTTCCATCAACATGGATCTACGTTCGATCTGCTGTCACAGGCCATGTGGTGGCAAGAGCAGCCTCAATGGTGTAGGGTGTAGAGCTATAGATTATGGACCGGGTTCAAATCCTGATTCGTGCTGAGTTTGCTGGTCCGGGGCTGGGCTGTTTGGAGAGACTACATTGGCCTTTGTTTCCACAGGGTTAGTGAGGAGAAAACCAGTCACAACAACAACAACAAGATTCCATTTATAAAGCGCCTTTCACGTCAGGAGGACGTCCCAAGGCGCTGCACAGTTGGGTCATGACCCGAGCAGGGGGGAAATGGTCAGGGTGAGGGGAGGGAAGGGAGGGAGCGAGGAGGGGGGAAATGGTCAGGGTGAGGGGAGGGAAGGGAGGGAGCGAGGAGGGGGTTGAGAGGGGAGCTGAAGGCTCGGTCAAAGAGAAAGGTTTTGAGACCGGCCTTGAAGGAGGAAAGGGAGGAGGCAAGGCGAAGGCACTGGGGGATTGAGTTCCAGAGCCTGGGGGCTGAGAGTTCCAGAGTCAGGGTCCCTACGCATGATTCAGACCCTCTACATGTCCATGGCAGGTGGGGTGGAGAGAGGTCAGGCAGCTGTAATGCCTTCTACAGACCAGCAATCTGTCCTCCTCACACAGGAGCACTTGTGGCGACCCTGGAGGGCAACAAGCACTTGCAAAACTGCACCCCATCAATAGGTGGTCAGACCATGAGCGGAGCAGAGAGGCAAACGCCATTGGGGAGAAGATTAGAGGAAAAAAATACAGTGAACAAACTTAATTTAGATAAATATAGAAAAAAGTTTGATATAGAGAATGTCCAATTCTCCCTTCTGCTCTGGTAACAATGGATACATGATAACTGCTGAAATTGTTAACTCTGATTTTATGTCACTGAAATCCATCTTTTTGTTCTTCTGATATGATCAGTATTGTTTTAAAGCTTCAGTTCATTTGCAGATGCATTGCCCTTAGATATGTGTGATCATATTCTTTCCCAAGAATTCAAAGTAAGGCCTCTTACTTTTGCCTCCAACTGAAGTGCTAGAAATTGAATATATATGAAGGATCAATTCCCCATCTACAACGTGCTGTCTGCTAAAATGTCGATCACTTGGATGGTGCCATGGTGCTGAATATATGCACCATCTTTAGGAGACAAGAGTAAAGATCAGCCCTGATAAGATCTGATCCATGTTCCCCTCTGTCTCCATTCTGAGCTGCACTAAACAAGGAGCTAACAAGCAGAGGCTGCCACAGCTCACTGCAGGGGAGTGATGAATCAGGGGGAAACATAAAGTGAAGGTGGAGCTGAGCATCTCTTCACAGCTGGCTGCTACACATCAGCAGCAATTTGGGAGCAGACTCTCAGCTGTCCTCTCAGCAGTCGAGGAGGCTTGGCCTGGCAGATAGAAGATGAGATAACTCATATATAAAAATAATTTAATTAAAGTATCCATAAACCTTGGAGTCCTTAAAATAATTATAAAAATAATGATGCATTTGATATAGCGCCTCTCGTGTCGTTGAGACATCACAAACTACTTCACAGAATATATGGTAAAGTGAATTGACTGTATATGTTGTGGGAGAAATGCGGAAGCCAATTGCGCACAGCAGTGTCCCACAAACAGTCGTGGAGTGAATGACCAAAGTATTTTGAAGGGTTTATTACGCCAGGAAAGCGATCTGCCAATCGACTAACAGCTGGGTACCTACTTACTGCTAGATAACAGAGACGTGTGAAGTAAGGAAATTTACCTAAGGTTTCGCCCTGCCTGGGAATTGAACCCAGGTCCTCTCGCTTGCGAGGTGAGTGCTCTAACTAATACGTTACAGAACTCCACAGGTATATGTGGTGAAATATTTACAGCAGTTTTTTTAAGCTCCTACTTAACCAAAGGAAAAATATTGCATACTAAGATCAATTCATAGTCACCTTAACACAGTTAGCAGGAGTGCTTGTCACAAATAGACCTTTGTAGGAAAGAACAGACTTTGGCAAAGCTCCTAATGTGATCATGTTTTGCATGTGATGCACACTTTAACTTGTCTCTGCAATAACGTTCATTTAAAGATGATTGCACCTGGGTTTTGCATTTGTTTCCTATGATCAAATAGTGCATGTCATAAAATCAGTGAGTCAGTAACAGGGACATAAAATGAGGATTAGCATCAGAAGAAAACATGGAGAGGTTAGAAGATTTTTTTGCACAGAATATAGTTAGTTATAGAATGCTTTACAATAAATGAGTGTCGTTGAAGATGAGCCGATAGCAGCGCTTAAAAGCTTCGATACTCTTGCCCCCATCACTTCCCGCACTGTCTCCTACTCCCGCTCCTCCCCCTGGTACACCACCCACCTCCGCTCACTGAAATGCCAGGTGCGGGCTGCTGAGCGCACCTTTGTCAAATCCGGCTTAACGGTCCACCGACAAATCTGGCTGGACCTCCTCAAAATTTACCGCTCCACTCTAGCCTCGGCCAAGTCGTCCTTCTACTCCAGGATAATCCTGGAGGCGAAGAACAACCCCAGGCTACTGTTTTCCACCACATCCCGACTCCTCCGTCCCCCCCGCCACCCCGCGCAGGTCATCTCCTCCAACCTTCACTGCGAGGAGATGCTGGATTTCCTTGAATCCAAGATCAAGGGAATCCGCTCCGCGGTCACTTCCCCTCCAACTTCCACCCACCACCCACCCCTTCCCTCCCACACTCCGACTCCTACCCATCCTCCCCTACACACCTTCGTACCCGTTTCCCCACCCTCTGTCACTGAACTCATCCTATCCCTAAAACCAACCACCTGCTCCCTTGACCCCATCCCCACTCCACTCCTTATCTCCCAGCTCCATTTTCTTGCCCCACACATCACTGACATCATAAACCTGTCCCTCTCCTCTGGCTCTGTCCCCATTCCATTAAAAACTGCCATCATCACGCCCACCCTGAAAAAACCCTCCCTTGATGCGTCGCAGCTATCAAGCTACCGGCCCATCTCCAACCTCCCCTTTCTCTCCAAGGTCTTGGAAAGAGTTGTCGCCTCCCAACTGCGCTCTTTCCTCTCCACCCATTCTCTTTTTGAACCCCTTCAGTCAGGTTTCCGTGCTGCTCATAGCACAGAAACTGCCCTGGTCAAGGTCACCAATGATATCCTGACTATCTGTGACCAGGGCTCCCTCTGTCTCCTCGTCCTCCTCGACCTATCGGCAGCATTCGATACGGTCGACCACGCTATCCTACTCCACCGCTTGTCCTCCCACCTCAACCTTCAAGGCACTGTCCTTGAATGGTTTAGCTCTTACCTTTCCCACCGTCTTCACTTCGTCTCAACGAATGGCTTCTCCTCCACCCCCCGTACTGTCTCATGTGGTGTCCCTCAGGGCTCTGTCCTCGGTCCCCTCCTCTTCACCCTCTATATGCTCCCCCTCGGTGACATCATCCGCAAACATGGGGTTAACTTCCACATGTATGCGGATGACACCCAACTCTACCTTTCCTCCTCTACTCTCAACTCCACGACCACCGATGTCCTGACAGCCTGCCTGTCCGACATCGAGTCCTGGACGAGAGACAACTTTCTTCAGCTCAACGTGCGAAAAACCGAGGCCCTCCTGATTGGCTCACGTCAGCGCCTCCGCACCTCAGGCGCTGACACCATCAGCATCCAAGGCTGCACTCTCCACCTCTCAAAGCCAGTCAGGAACCTCGGCGTTTTGTTCGACCCTGAGCTGTCCTTTCTCCCTCACATCCGCACCACAACTGGCACCGCCTTCCATCACCTCCGGAATATCGCCAGATTACGGCACTACCTCACCCCTCACGCTGCTGAAACCCTGGTTCACGCCTTTGTCACCTCAAGGCTGGACTATGGGAACTCTCTCCTCGCCGGCCTTCCCGCCACCTCCCTCCACAAGCTGCAGGTCATTCAGAACTCTGCAGCTCGTGTACTGTCCCGCACCAGGCTTCGGGACCACATCACTCCTACCCTCGCTCGCCTCCACTGGCTCCCCATCCCCCAGAGGATTGATTTCAAGATCCTCATCCTCACCTACAAGGCCATTCACGGCCTTGCTCCCTCCTACCTCTCCAACCTACTATCCCCCTACCTACCTGCCCGTACCCTCCGTTCCTCTGGCTCCGGTCTGCTCCACGTCCCCCGCCCCAACCGCCCTACTATCGGTGGTCGGGCCTTCAGCCTCTCAGCCCCGAGGCTCTGGAACTCCATCCCCCAGTGCCTTCGCCTTGCTTCCTCCCTTTCCTCCTTCAAGGCCGGTCTCAAAACCTTTCTCTTTGACCGTGCCTTCAGCTCCCCTCTCGACTCTCTTCCTCCTCCTCGCTCCCTCCCTTCCCTCCCCTCACCCTGACCATTTCCCCCCTCCTCTCTCCCTCCCTTCCCTCCCCTCACCCTGACCATTTCCCCCCTGCTCGGGTCATGACCCAACTGTGCAGCGCCTTGGGACGTCCTCCTGACGTGAAAGGCGCTTTATAAATGGAATCTTGTTGTTGTTGTTGTTGTTGTTACTGGATAAATTCATGAAGAAAATTAATATTAAATTGTAGGTGGTAAGGATGTGAAATGAGATTGGAGTAGATAGCTACAATGGGAGAGTAAGCACCAACACAATGTACCAAATGGCCTCCTTCTGTCCTGTGAACATTCTATGATGCCATCAGTCATTTAGGAGCTCTGTAGAGGCAGTAATTTAACAGGATGAAAGAGTTGTTGTAAAGCTGAAACAGTCAACAGGTGTAGCTGGGGAAAACAATCAATGAAGGTTGAGAGTGATTGCATCCCTCCGTTGTACACACCTGTGTCTCGAGTTGACATTATAGACCTCAGCAGCCGACAAATTGTTTCAGATCAGATTTGGTCCATTCCATAGAAAACAAGGTACAGAATCGGCAGCTTTACATCAGAATCTGGGTCACAGCAAAGTTATATATTGCCATTAAAAAAAGTTGGCACCACTGTCATTAATACTTAGGGATGTGTTGCTTGGTATTGTACAGCAGAGTAGTGTGTCCTGTATGGAATGTAGCAAATGACAACCTAATCTCAACGAGAAGCAATGAGTTAAAATCCCTTTAGCTCCTGTAGGACAGTATAGTACAACATTAAGACTCTAAGTCCCAGATGTTGCAACACATTAAATTATGAGAAGCAACATGTTGGTACCACAGTAACAAGCTGGCACAGGAGACTTACAGCACTGTCCATGTATGCTTCTGTCCAGATGATGTCATGATCGTGATTGATGACCATTGGCCTGCTGAGCACATGAAGGTACTCCATGACATTCTCCTGCACGTCAGCCAGGGTTGAGATGTGAGTGTAATATCCTGCAATCAAACAGCAGATAAATGCAGTCTTTAAAGTAAAAAATAGCTTCGATCATAAGAGGTTTGGTTAAAGAAGACTCTTCGGCCCATTTGATTGCATCCTTCTACAACACGCAACCCATTGTTTCCCTTGACCACTTCAAACTGGCTGCATGTAAGCCTGGTCTCAGTCTGGTTACACCACTGGTGCCCTGCATTATGGATCACACGACTTCACTTTGGTTTCTCAATTTAAAAAAAACATGTTACTGCATTGACTTAAGTGATTTCAGCCAGGACAGTGGTGGGCCTCTACCACTCCACATCCTAGGACTAAGGAACGGTCAAATGAGGTTGCCTACCCATTCCTATACAATGTACTCCTTATCAGTGTCCAGGAAGTCTTATGGTATTCATCATCCATACCAATCACCCAATGCCAAAATAATATATTTGAATGTAGCTGCTAGCTGGGGACACGATTGGGATTTTCCCTTTATAAAGACATAATAAAAAGATTGTTCAGACAGCAAAAGATAGACCTCAGTGTTTAGGCTGAAAAAGGCTATTTGTAACAGAGTTTCCGGCACCAATGGAAACAGACGCCCAACATTAGGAAGCTCTTTCAGAGGCAAAGGGGCAAGAACTCAGAAAAGAAAACAAATTGCTCAGTTTGTTGTTTTTTTGAACACGAAGAGGGGGAGAGACTGAACAAAAGGTTAGCCAGAGGTTGAGGAGAGACAGGGGTCAAGGAGAGCCTAAGGTGGAGGAGAGCCAATGGTGGAAGAGAGCCAGAGCTGGAGAAAAGCCAAAGCTGGAGATGATCCAAGACTGAGATCGATCTGCAGTGTGCATTTTTTGGAAAGGTCTCTTAAATTGAGTTATCTTGTAACTTTATATACATCAGTGCCACGTTGGACTGATATTATCTGTCCCAATCCATTAGTAAATCCCAAATACCTTTGTTTTGTTTGACACAAGCACTCAAAATGAAAGACCAGTATTATCAAGAAAAAGATCCATCACTTTTCAATAGCTTACTCACAACAAGATTATCTACAAACATTTTGAACTGAAGGGAGTTTCTACTCCTGGCCAACAATATTCCAGATAAAATTAATCATTCACTTCAATGGTTATTTGTAGGACTTTGCTTTCTCAAATTGGCTACCATATTCAATTAAAGATCCCAAGGCACAATTTGAAAAGACCGTTGTGTTTGCCTACAAAAAACATAGCCACGGTACTTCACAGTAAAAATCATGTGATGCTTTTTGAGATATCTCAACAATGTGATAGAGCACCATATAAATGCAAGCATTATCAATATTATTATTTTACTGGCATGCACTGTTCTGAAGAACTGGATTTTAATCAGCACAAGGGGGAGCCCTATTACTTCTTTTTGCTCCAACGCGTTAATAATGCTCACATTTGGAGAAGCTCATTGCACTTTGGAAAGACGTCTAAAACTATTCACAAGATAATAATAATAATCCTTGCATTTGATATAGTGCCTTATCACGTCTTCGAGACATCTCAAAGTGCTTCATAGAATATACTGTAAAGTGAATTGACTGTATTTTGTGGTCAAAACGCAGCAGCTAATTGGGCACAGCAGTGTCACACAAACATTCGTGAGAGCGAAACTAATCTATTATTATTATTATTTATAGGATACACTGTAAAGTTTACGGACCATGTAATTTTTTGTGGGCGAAGCATTGGGAAGATAGGAATATGTAGGACTAAGCAAGCCAATGGTAGTCCCACCAACTGGATCCAAAGTAAACATAAACCTTGTATTTGATATACTGTTTGTAACATCGAAATGTCACAAAGTGCTTCACAGGGAATTTCATGAGTGTATATTTATAGGCAAACGTTGCAGTCTTTGTAAATTGTGTAATGGGATCTTTAACTCCCACCTAAGTAGGCAGATAAGACCTCAGTTTAACCTCACATCCAAAGGACAGCACGTCCAAGAAAGCAGTCCTCCCCTAGTACTGCACCAAATTATTATTATTATTATTATTAAAATGCTGGCCTAGACTGTGAGCCGGAAGGCTTCAACCCACAACCTTCTGATCCAAGAGGTGAGGATCCTAGCTGTTGACGTAATCTGCCTTCACAACCTCCCTCGTTAATCCATTCACTTCGCTCTGTGTAAAAGGAATTAACTATGAGCTGAGTTTTCACCAATGCTCTTTTGGGCTTGAAACTGTGCCATCGCTCCATAACCTTCAATTCCCTGGCTCCCCTGAAATCCAGGGTTGTTTCCAAACCCACCCACTCCCCCCAATACAAATGTCATCTCCGTTAACTCAAAACACAAACCCGGATGCTCAAGCGCAGATGGCAGAAATCCGGCCTCACGATTCACTGCTAGCTGTGGCTCGAGCATCTACTGCCTCTCCCTTTCAGGGGCCCAAACTGACTTTTACTCCAAAGTCAACCCGGAAGCAAACAACAATCCAAAGATGCCGTTTTCCACCATCCATCACCTCCTCTGTGTACCCCCTCAAGCCCCCTCTAGCCTCACATCAAACGCCAAGAAGCCCTAGACTTCTTCACCCCAAAGATTGAAAACATCCAATTAGCTGCATTGTCCTTCCCCCCATGTCCCTTTCCACCCCACCCAGACCATCCACAGTGCCTTCTCGCTCTGCCCCAGCTCCTACCACTCCCCACTCCTTACACTCCTTTGACCCAATTTCTCCTTCTTCCCTCTCAACCACAATCACCCGGATGAAGTTCACCACCTGCTGCCTCAACCCCCTCCCCACCCAGCTGCTGGTCACTAAACTCTTCCTCCTCTCTCCACTGCTGGCCGACATGGTCAACCAGTCTCTCTCCTCAGGCTCAGTTCCACTCTCCCTGAAAACTGTTGTTATCACACATCTGCTTAAAAAGCCTACCCTCGATCCCTCTAATCTCTCACACTACCATCCCATTTCTAACCTACCCTTCCTTGTCCTGGAACACATTGTTGCAGATCAACTTTGGTCACACCTCTCCCTCCACTCCCTCCTCGAGTCCCTGCAGTTTGGTTTTCACCCTGCCCACAGCACAGAGACAGCGCTTGTTAAAGTCACAAACGATATCCTCTCTATCTGTGACCAGGGCTCCCTCTGCCTCCTTGTCCTCCTGGATCTCTCTGTCCCATTCAACATAGTCGACCACGCCATCCTCTTCCACCGCCTCTCCTCCCTCATCCACCTTATTGGGACCTCACTCGTATGGTTTGAGTCCTATTTAACCAACCTCCTCCATTTCATCTCAGCAAACGGTATCTCTTTCCATCCCTGCCCAGTCACCTGTGGGGTATCCTAGGGCTCCATCTTAGCCCACTGCTTTTCCTTATCTATATGCTCCTTCTTGGTGATATCATCCACAGACACAGGGTAAATTTCCACATAGATGCAGATGACACACAAATCTACTTTGCCCCCTCCAGTATCAACTCCAGGTCCACCGATGTTCTATCAACTTGTCTGGTAGACATCAGGGCCTGGATGAATGCTAACTTCCTGCAGCTGAATGTGGACAAGACAGAAGCCATACTCCTTGGCTCCCGTTAATGTCTTCACTCCTGTGGATCTGAACTCCTCAACCTACCTAGGCGTCCGGTTCAAACCCCAGCTGTCCTTCCTCCCCCACATCCAGTCCCTGATCAGTACCGCCTTCTTCCACCTCAGCTAAATTGCCCACCTCCGACTGTACCTTACGCCAAATGCAGCCGAAACGCTTGTACATGCATTTGTCACCTTCCATCTGAATTACTCAAGCGCACTCCTCGCCGATCTCCCCAGCTCCACCATTCAAAAGATCCAGCCCATTCAGAAGTCTGCTACCCAGATACGTACCCAAACTCAGCACCCACATCTCACCAGTTCTGGCCAGGCTCCACTGGCTCCACTGAACAGATCGGCTTCAAGATCCTCACACCTGTGTTCAAATCCCTTAACTTTCTAGCACCTTATTACCTATCCGACCACCTCACTCCCCAATCCACCACCCGGCACCTCCACTTGACTGGCAATGGCCTCCTGCTCGTCCCTTGCACCCTCCGCCCCACCATCGGAGGTCGCACTTTCAGCCAGTACACCCCAAAACTCTGGAATGCTCTCCCTCAATCCCTAACCTTGCCCTCTCTCTCTCTCTGCTTTTTCAAGTCCAGCCTGAAAACCCTCCTCTTCAACTGTGCAGAAATCAGCAGGAAAACCGACCTTTCCTTTAAAACTCAGCACAACTGATCGAGGAGAGTGAGACTTAACCATGTCCTGGCTGAAGGAATGGATGAAGACAGCAGTGGTAGAGAAAGGAAACATCAAATGTTTCTTGCTTCATACAGATGAATAAATTTGTACTGTAATTATTTGCTCTTTTCACCGAATGCTACACTTTCAGCCTAAGATAGTTACACATGTGCACCTTAAATATAAGTCTCTTACCTTTATTGTTACAAGCTATCCATTTAACATAGTCAGCAAATGTCACCTCCCGGCCAATCAGATAGGTAAACACCCGCACCTGTGTGAGAGAAGTACAGTGGGTGATGGAATGAGATCTCAGAGACGAGACATTCAAACAAAATATAAAGCTCGAGAGACTGTGCAGAGAGTCTCAGCATGTAAAGTAACATTGAAAAACTAGACAGGACTTCCACTTCCCAGCAAATCCCTTCTTCAAATCCTCTAAATAATATAACAAATTCAAAGATTTAAAAGGTTTAATACCAGGATGGTGGTAGCATTTCTGTACCAATATTTACATAGATTTAAACACGTCGTAAGATTATTAAAAAGGATTAAGTTAGAGTGCGGGGTTAACTACTGCAATGGACATTAAACACTGTGAGTGGTTTAAGAGATAAACCAATTTCTATTTTGACAGATCAGCTGAAAAGCCAAGAGGAAAAGAAACAAGGAGAAGGAAAAACAACTGTGAAGGAGCAAAAGGAAAGGAGTTGAATATTTTGCCATTGCATTGCACTGAAGAATGAAATATAGGCTACATTTTTCACAGGAAAGCAAGAGAGAACTGTGTTTTCACTGTAGTCTCACATCATTTTGAAGATAGGGGCAAAAATCCACACATGGTTCTCAAATGTATGCATGAGTATTGTTCATTGTCCTCCCATCAGCAATGATAGAGAGAAGAGACAGAGATAGAGTGGCAGAGAAAGAGAGGAAAGAAACAGAGAAAGAGAGCAGAAAGGTGAGGGAAGGAAAGAGATAGAGAAAGAGAGAGAGGGAAAAAAGAAGAAATAAACCAAAAGAGGAGATAAAGAGAGAAACTGAGAAGAGGGTAGAAGTCATCAAATGGAAAGATTTGAAAAAGCAAAAAAGCATAAACAGAGAACCAGCCTTATGAAAATAGTTCCATGCTTGTTTACTGGCTATCTTGGAGCCTTGGCCTTAGCCTTCAGCTCTTCCCTCCTCCAATCTGCTGAAGGAAAACCTCTGAATCTCCCTCTTCTGCCTCTTTGACATAGTGATGCCAGCCATCTTCAGCATTACCATACCACTGTTGCCCTTCACTTATCTGCCACAGGAGGAGTTGAGCACAATAGGCCTCAAAAGACAGAGTATTTCTGTGTCTACCTTACGGTCAGGCCAGTTGTATTTCTCAAATACTTGTTCGTACTCCTCAACTGCACCATCTGTGATCAGCATGATGGCCTGGTTACACAGGCTGCCTTGTCCTGTCTCTTTAAACTAAGAAAAGGAATACAAATGTCAAGCAGCAGCAGGGTACTGAGCACAGAACACAGGTAGGTGACCAGCACTGGGTGCACGATGCGAGCAAGAACATTTGTAAATGACAAGTCCTGAATCCTATCATTTGTGTGGCAGAGCAGCAAGAATTGTACCAACTGTACCTGCGTGGTCATGCCTGATTGGAGCGATGAAAAGGTCCAAATTGTGGGAGATGCACATGGATTTTGACCAAGTCAATATTGTTGTGCTCAGAAAACTTTAATAATAATCCTTACATTTGGTATATCAATGGTTACATTTGGTAAAGCAATGACCCCAAATAACATGAAAGAATGATTAATTTTATTTGGGAGAGTATTGGCCAGGGCACTGGGAGAAACTCCTTTCTCTTTTTGAATAATGGCATGGGATCTTTAAGGTCCACCTGAATAGGCATATAGAGCCTTGATTTAATGATTCATCCAAATGATGGTACCTCAACATTGCAGCACACCCCCAGCACTGCATTGTCAGCATAGACTATATGAATTCCAAGTCCAGATGTGGGGCTTGAACCCACAACCTTCTGACTCAGTGGTGAGAGTGCAATCAACTGAGCCAATGAGCCAGGCTAATATTCTACATGGCTGTCAAAATTAAAAACAGCCTCCGAGAGGAGTTCCAGAGGGTTGCGCATTGCCACATCTGGAATTCATTAGTGAAGAATCCTTTTGCAACTATTGAGACCCCAAACTGTACAAATAAGACATTAATAATACAGTATCATTGCATATTCAATGCTGTATGCCAGATATAGCCAACTGGGTGACTGATACAGGAGGGTTAGTCTTCCATGGTTGGCAAATTTATCAATCTTTGGCAAACAATGCCAGGATTATTCTCTTGTTTTGGCAGTTTTGGGCAGAATAACCGAAAGCAGAGAATAATCCAAGGAAGTGTCCAGGGAAGGAATGAGCTGAGAGAATGTACAATAAACCACAAGCACGAGATAGTTCATTTTAAAGCATATAATACTCGGAAGGAGTGGCTGAGAATCATATTAAGATAAGAAACATACATGTCAGTTCAGCCCTTTAAACTAATTTCTTGCCCTAAATGCTTTCACTGTGCGCTGTCACAGAATCTCCCAGCATTGATAGTATAGACAATGATACTAGAAATCTGAAGCAAGTAGTAATCCTTGCATTTGATATGTTGTATAAGTAGTAGAGTACATTTCACCTTTGATTCAGTCAATAATTAATAGCAATAGTCCTATCCCATATTGGTTTTCAGGCCATACAAACCTCATTCAAAATTCTGAAGGATTCAATGAGCCCCTTATTTACAATTCCTGTCCCTTTAGCATGAAGATCGCCAACCAGTTGCTTGAAATGCTTGAGGAGGAAAGTAAAAGAAACCAGAACATAGTTATTCTCTGTGGCTGTTAGTAATTTATAATAAAGGACACTTACAAAAAAATGTCCATTATCAGCAAATAAACTTTATGCCACAAAACATGTTAGCCTGGATATCCTTTTGCATCAATAACTCGGAGGAGTCCAGGAATCACTGCCCATCATTACGCCTCCTGCCACCATACATGAACCTCAGTAGAATGAAATTGGTTAAACTAAAAACACTCAGCATTTCACAGTACGAAGTTCAACTCAGGTTCCAGACAATAGTTCTATGTTTCCTGTTTGTAGCTTTGCTCTCATGCTTTGGAATGTTATGCAAGGTCTTGATTCAATTCCCATAAAATTGAATAATCTAATATGTAACAGCCAACAAAGGTTCAGAAGGGGTAAGTCTCAATTGCCCAACCTCATAGACTTTTGAGGAGGTGACAGCATACACTGACTGTGGGAAGCCATATGCTGTAGTATATTTATATAATTAATATATTTAATCTATGATGTGTTATTTCTTTATGTTTAGTTTTTGAAAATGAGAAAAAATGTAGGTTAGCAGCAAAACACATCTCTCAATAGCATCAATCAACCCTCTGCAATTTTCCGCAAAAGTTAGCAAACCCTGCCACAATTTTCCGCAAAATCAGTAAAGTGCTTTGCAGTAGTTTGCAAGTATTTCCATACTTTTCTATTGACCCTGCCTATAAGTAACAATTAGACAAGCTAGGGCTCTTTCGTATTCAAAGCATAACATCTCAGAGGGGCCTTATAGAGGTACCTGTATATAAGATTTTAAATGAGATTGAAAAAGTAAACACAGAATAATACTTTTAGATGCACCAAGACAGTAGAACAAGAGAAGCTAGGTTCAGAGGTGCAACGGTCAAATCATGAACAACCAAGTATTTTGTGTCATCAAAGGATTTACTGATATTTCCATCCACAAATCTATCTTGTATCACGGCTGCAGCATGTTGGTGTGTATTGTGATGAGGAGCAGCAGGAGTGCATTTTAATTGCAACTCTAAAACTCAATGAGTTAATGGGGCATACCGTGTGGGTGGACTAAGAGCTAAGACTGTCGAAAAAAATCTGAAACTTGAGAGCAAATGTTCCAGTGTCAGTCCATCAAGCATTGAAAAAGCAACAGTACGTACTTCACCAAAGATAGGCTCATTGTCAGCATTAACAGAATGGATAGCTGAACTCCAGCAATCAGCCAAGCAGCACAAAGCTGTTTAAAAATTGAACACTCAGTCACCAAGCACTGTGTTTTGTGCTGTTGCTGCAGATTAACAGGCCTGCCAGCTCCAAGCTCTTTAGCGAATCTAGGCTCAAGAGTCTGAACTGTGAAGTTAAACTCTTCCATCAACTGTTCGATTGTATCTTTACGACGTTATGTGGTGTATTGCAAAAGTAAGTTCGGCAGGCTTTAGACTCAGTGTCAGATTTCTTCCAGAGAACACACGTTGCAGTAACTGTTGGAATTCAGAAGAGCAGTGAATGCTTTTAACCTCCCCAGCACTGAGCAAGCAAGATTTAAAACGCAGGTTTTAGCTATACTGTCATTGAACATCTGAAATATCACTGTATCAGTAATCAGTGAAAGGATGTTCCCATAAAACAAAGAATTGTTGAGTGCTAGAGGTCATTTCATTTGATAACTGAATACACATTCAGTGCTTCACAGATGGAACCAATCCCTTATTCCAGCTGCAGTATCAGCATAATACCTCATCTAATCCACTGGCAGCGCAGAAAAAATAGGAATCCTCTTCCCCTACTCCTCCAAGCACACACAAAATTAACAACAGGGAGAAATTTCTGCGCAATGTTCTTGTGTTTAACTCTCGAAGCTCACTTCAAGGTTATCTGAATATCTGGATTAGATTTCACACTGTAATCCTCTCCTGGGTATCCATTCTTCTATATATAAAGCTTCAGAAGACCTCAATTAGATTTCAGCATGTAATATAGTCCAGATATCCATCATTTTTCATATAAACTGTTCAAACCAATTTACTAGTGAGTCTGTAACTCATCTCCAAATCCTGTGTTGTTCAACACATAACAAATCTAAACTTCTCTTTGACCGAGCCTTCAGCTCCCCTCTCGACTCTCTTCCCCCTCCTCGCTCCCTCCCTTCCCTCCCCTTACCCTGACCATTTCCCCCCTCCTCGCTCCCTCCCTTCCCTCACCCTGACCATTTCCCCCCTGCTCGGGTCATGACCCAACTGTGCAGCGCCTTGGGACGTCCTCCTGACGTGAAAGGCGCTTTATAAATGGAATCTTGTTGTTGTTGTTGTTGTTGTTCCTCAATTAGATCCCAGTCTGTAACTCACTTCCAGCTATATATATTTTCTGTTTAACAATGTCTGTAAACTGTTACATGAAATGCCTCAATGAATTTTAATGAAATTGATGAACTTTTTTACTTTACTGTGAAGAAAATGCAACACTCACCTCTCGGTTGTCCCTATCTGCCTGCACTAGCGTTCCTTTGAAGCAGGGCTCAACATAGTGAACATAATCATTGTACTGGAGAAAGACAAAAATAACACACTGTTAGAAATACTTTCACTCTCAGGTAACTAGGGTGGGGAGAAGGGAGAGTGAGGGAGTGGCAGGAGAGTAATGGGGCTGAATGGTTATTAGGGATTATAAACCCTCCAAAAATTAATAATTTGGTCACTCAATCCACAGCTGTTTGTGGGACACTGCTATGCTCAATTGGCTGCCGTGTTTTGTCCACAAAATTTATAGTCAATCCACTTTACAGTATATTCTCTGAAACACTTTGAGACATCTCAATGACGTGATAAGACTCTATATCAAATGCAAAGATTATTATTATTGACATTGGTTTGATGAACTCACAAATGCCTCAGAAAAAGATTGAGCTACTGCAGGAAATTTTAAGTGCTGTGAAGTTCCTCACTTCCATTAAACTTCCCTTTCTCCTGCGATCCACAGGCTTTGAAAAATGAACCTCCACTTATTGATCAATCTCTTCCTCTTTGATCCTCTTTTCACTATGGTGTTTACTGCACTGGGAGCGCTGATTCTTGACCAAGGTTTCTCAATGAAAAAACGTGACCAAAGAAAAAACAAAATTAATTAGGACAGTTCTGGTAGTGGGGAAGAGGAATGGGAGCAGCCTTGGTATACAGTAAAAAGTGACATTCTACAACATTTTGGGTTCCAATATATTCATTATTGTACCTTGAATGCAAATGCCATGTTGAACCATATTCTGCTATACTTACTGCAACAATATTGACAAAGTCATTTTCACCCAGTGTGTCCAGGATTGATGTTATTGTGTGTTTGGCTATCGTCATTCGAAGACCTTTCATACTGCCACTGATATCCAGCAGTATGATGATGTCCTTTGGGGAAGTTGCAGCTTGAATATACCTGTGCATGAAAACAATCAGGATTATAGTCCAGGCAGATGCAGGAAGAGCCCTGCGTTGTCAGAGGTGCCATCTTTTGGATAAAGCACTAAAAGGGAGTTCCTCCTGGTAGACAATTCCCCAAATAGCACATTGGTCATTCATTTCACACACAAATTGGCTGCCACATTTGCCATACAATATAGGCACTATACTTTATTATTATGATTCTGATGAGCCTTCAGTTCTGGGAATTGTAGTGGGTTCACATGCTTTCCTTTCACCCCTGGATTATGAATCCAAGTTAACACTGATGGAAGAAAGCCTGATTTAAAGTTTCCAATGATGTTGAGGGAGATGACTTTGAGCAGTGCAAGCCCAATTCTTAGTGGCCACCAGTCACACAATTCTCAGTCGCTGACAATCTCAATTTGAGAAGCCATAAGGAAATGGAAACATCACATTGGTCCAATAGAGTCACTCGTTTTCCTGAAGGCAATGACTCATGATGGTGTAGAATTCCATAGTCAGCAGTTACCCTCTTGTATTTTGCCCTTATTATCATTGTTCATGTGTAAAACTTAGGCAAATGGCAAAAAAAAGGCTATGAAAAATATCACAGCTGTGTGCTAACACAAATTCTACAGGGCATTCATACATGCACACATTCCAGAAGAAGTCATCGGACAATGATTAGGAGCAGCAACCTTGGCTGTTTTTTCCTCATTGACTTAGGAATGCTGAGACCAATTGCAATGTCCCTCCTGGCTCCCCAATTGAAATCAATGAGCTCAGCACAGGTCAGAGATGGAACCTAGGGTTGCATAAATCAGCTTGGCTCAGTACTGTGTCCTGACTGAGCCATCAGGCAATTAAAAGTTTTAATGTTATTTGAGACTGGTATTTGGGGCTGGAATTTTCCAGTCACTAGTGAGTATTGTACTACAGCAGTCATTTTGGAGAATACCCTTGAATAAAATTTGTGCAATTCTAACTCTAGCAATCGTTTCCTTACCAGCCTCTGTTCCTGCAGTCAAAAGAAATTACTCCATTTTCATCTGGCATCCATTTTATACCTGTAGAGAAGGGGACAAGGACACAGTTATAGACTGTATCTTAATAATCCTTACATAATAATCCTTACATTTGGTCTAGCACCTTTCACCTCCAAAGTTCTTCACAGGATTTACTGTGGAGTGCCTGTGTCTGTTTTGTGGAAAAACCCAGCAGCAATTTATAAAAAGTGTTGTCTGATCGTCATTTTGGAAGCTAGGAATGGATGCAGATGTCTGTGTTTGCATTATTTTTGTGGCATATGCAAAGATTCAATTTTAAGATATGAGATTCATACTTTTTTAAGTACTTCTAAAAAAACTTATGTTTGGAAAGTCATTTGAGCTTTTGATTTCACCAACATATTTTAGTATCTGGAGCTGCTTCCGCTATAACCAATAAAGGTCTCCTTCACCACCCTCACTAACGGTATCATATGAAAGTTATTCAGTCAACCTACAAGTGAAGAGGGAGTGTTGTTGCACTGATACCTGAACAGAGTCTGAACAGTTAAAATAATAATACCAACAGTGTCTACCTGACCATACATTTACAGACTCAGAGCCTATTGTGATTACATAATTGTGAAGTCTTTGAAGATAAACTTCAAAGGCAAAGTTTTCTGCATGAACATTTCAAACTCGACAAAACAAACCATGCACTTGTAAATATCATAATATACTCTAGAATATTTCTTATACCTTCCAACACATCACTTGTGAGCCAGAAATTCCTGTCCGCCTAACTGGTTTAAACATTTTAGCATCTGTGGTCTGCATGGTTAGAGCACGTTTACCTGGGTAAAGTCTGAAGAAACCTGTCGAACTTCCAAAATATTGCCAGGTGAGTGTTGGGTCTTGCATGAAGTTGTCACTGAAGATTTCATTTAAAGTCTCTGACCAGTAAGCTCCGTTCACAATGTTTGGATCTGTGGAGATACAGCATGGTCAGTGGTGAGTGATGCACTTTTGTGCACCGACTATTCAGTACAATTCCAAAATGTTTTGCGTTGTTCTCACTGTGGTCACCTACTCAAACACTTCTTGGGTAACGGGATAATAACGTGTTGCGTTTCTTCTTTCTGTCATTGGAGTTGATTCTTTTTTGAGATAAGGGTAAATATATATCTACCAATAAATATATATTTTGTTTAAAAAAAATAAATCACTTCTTGGCCTCTTCCAGGAGTTTTGGTACACAAAGGCAGTTTGGAAACAGGAAGAATGGCTGCTCTCGCAGTTCGTCCTTGGGGACCTGCTATCACGGGACTCGGTGCTGTATGGCCTCTTCCCGGTCACCTACAGCAAGACCCAAATGGAGTGATCCTGGAGGATCATCAACTCGGTGACGGAGGGCTCACCATCTTGTAAAAGCACAGCAGAGCCAGGACTAGCCCACCCGTTTTTTTAAATGCGTCCAGCATTCTGGCCTCAACCATCTTCCCTGGTAATCTGTGTTAATGGTTATTTATCTTCTGGGTAAAGAAATAATAATAATTTGCATTTGATATAGCACCTTCTCACATCATCCTGCTTCACAGGATACACTGTAAAGTGGATTGACTGTATTTTGTGGGCGAAATGCGGCAGCCAGTTTGCACATAGTAATGTCCCACAAAAAGCCATATAGTGGGATTTGTTGGCCAGTACATTGGGGAAACTTCCTTCTCTTTTCGAATAGTGCTATTGGATCTTTAACGTCCACCTGAGCAGGTGTACAGGACCTTGGTTTAACATCTTATCTGAAGGATGTTACTTCCTGATGTCTGTCCAGACATTACCCATTGCAATTTGAAACCCTGTTTTACGGATTAAGTGTTGGTAGCACTCTGAGTCTACTTCTGAGTTAGAAGGTTGTGCTCTCAAGCCACACATCGGATGAGTCCCAAGCACAAAAGGTCCTGTCTACCAGGATTCAAGGAATCAAAACTAATAAAAAACAGGCACAGTTTTAAATAAAATATTCCAAATACCTCCAGATATTATCCTCTCAACACCATTGTTATTATTAATCCTTTAGCTGTACTCTTTGATGCATTTGGAATTATCCACTATTACTCAAACCAGATAATTTGAGCACTTACTTTATAAAACAGTACACTGTTATTTTAATTTTCCTAAGAGCGCAGTACTGTATATACTCAAAAAAGTCTCATTGGGAGGAAATAACTTCCCATAATCTGAGATTTCAGATTCAACAGATGACATGAGCTTCTTTCTCAAGGTTTACAATATTATCTGAAATCCTGGAATAAGCCACAACTGTATTATTCTCTCTGACTGTACATCACTGAGTGAGGTTTTTACCTTCATTATACACATTCGTTGGAACTTGAATATTACTCAGTGAAGTGTTCACAGGCAAATTGTTAAAATGCTCATTTTCTTCTAAAATAAACTTGTTTCCAAGCATCACGTAATTCCCGTTGCTATCCTTCTCGTTGATCAGCACAGAATTGTAGTAATCAAACTTGGGTAGGAGCAAAAAAGAAATGCAGGTTAGACAAGTTCCTGGAAATTAAAAGGATTCTGTGTTATTAGATGATGACTAGGCTTGCCGTTTTTTTGAGCTAATGTGTAAACTATTGAGAATTCTCTTTGTGCACAGAAATGAAGGGAGAACAGTGCTACTATTATTAATAATAATAATCATTGCATTTGATATAGTGCCTTATCACATCGTTGAGACGTCTCAAAGCACTTCACATATATATTGTGTATTTTGTGGGAGAAATGCTGTAGGCCGACACGGTTGTAACAATCATGATAATATCAGGAGAGTGGTCTTGGTCTAAAGTAAGATTAACCCTGTAATCAAACTATCAGATCCATCTCCTGTTGGGTACTTGGAAGGAGTTGTGAATAGCATTGTAATCACAACATCACAATATCCACTCTTCTGTGAATCAGGAACATGGAGCTATTACCAGAAATCACATTCAAATTCACCTTTTATTTGCACACTCAGAGTGAGTTGTGAATATCATTTCAATCATAACAAAGTGCTAATTAAACATTATGGAATAAAAGTAAATGACACTACGTGTGTTCCATAATGATAATTGCTTATTGTGATTTTTTTGTGAATTTGAAATGTGCGATGAAAATATAGTAATCATATGAAAACGACTGTCTGATTGCCCACCCACCTCAGGTAAATCAATAAAGTTAAATTGATGAGTTCTCTGTTCAAGTTGACACTAGCTTCACTTTGCTGTTTTTTCATCTAATGTACAAAAATTAAAACAAATCTGATCCAAACATAAGAATTGCGGAGGTATGGAACTCTGAGGAATGAAAACATCCCCATTCATTACAACTCCAGTAAACTATTCCAATTCACTTTCAGACTTTCACTGACTCCAAACAACCAGATACCATGGACACTATTCAAAAAAAGAAAGGAATTTCTTCTGGTGTCCTTGTCAACAATCTCCCAAATTAAATTGTTCATTCACTTTATGGCTTTATGTGGGTCATTGCTGTATGCAAATTAGCTGCAGGGTTCACCCACAAACACATAGTTACTGCACTTAACAGTATATCCTGCGAAGTGCTTTGGGATGTTCTCCTGACATGAAAGGCGCTATGCCAAATGTAAGGATTATAATGATAACTATCAAATTCCTGAATTACTGCTACTTTTTTTTTAGTAATCAAATCCAAATGTTTGACCTATCATTAAATCCTCTAGTTATTTAGTTTTAACAAAAGAATACCAAATTTCATCTGGGGACGTGAACATATGGTCGAAACCGGTCAACTTAGTCATGTGCTTTTGTTTTAATTATACTACTAAACTGAAACTTCAGAACGTTATTTATATAAGGCAGTCAGAAGACATTTAAATGAGGTTAATTAAAACAATGTAACAATAACAACAAATTACACTTGTATAATGCCCTTCACATCGGAAAGACGTCCCAGGGCGCTGGACAGTCATGGGTTTTTGGACCTGAGCTGGGAGTTGGAAACAGAAGGGGTGGAGGGCAGCAGGGTGGGGGTGGGAGGGTGGCTGAAGGCATGGTCAAAGAGGAAAGTCTTTAAATGGGGTTTGAAGGAGGCAAGAGAGGGGCTGATGTGGAGGGATTGCGGGATAGAGTTCCAGAGTGTGGGGGCAGAGATGCTGAACGTCTGACCGCCAATGGTGGGGTGGGAAGTGTGGGGGGTGATTGGTTTGCGGAGGCTGGTGCAGGAGAGGACATGAGCTGCAGAGTTTTGAATAATCTGCAGCTTGTGGAGTAAAGAGTTGGGAAGTGAGCAGGCAGTTGGCGTAGTAACATACCAACGTTAAAGACATGTATTTAGTTGCACATTGAAAGCTAATTTATCTCTGCTACACATTTAGTGTACTCACCCCCAACTCTGCATTAAACTCGTGGTACAGATCAGCATCCTCAGCAGCATCAACCAGTCTCTGCACAGGAATAAAAGGAAATAACTCATGTTTTTCACTCTTTGTAGCATTTTCAGTTACTTACCTTCACACCAGAATGCAGTGACCAATGAAGTCTTGACAATGAAGCTAATAATCAATAATATTCCTTGCATTTGATATAACACTTTATCATGTCATTGAAAAGTTTCAAAGGCTTCACAGAATAATATTGTAAAGTGGATTGATTGCATATTTCTTGAGCGAAATAGGGCAGCCAATTGCACACAACAGTGTCCTACAAACAGTTGTGGATTGAATGACCACANTTTTTTTGAGGGATTATTACTCCTGGAAAGGGCTCCGCCAATTAACTAGCAACCGGGTTCCCACTTAATGCTAGGTAAACAGAGGCGTGTAGAGCAAGGAAACTTGCCTAAGGTTTTGCCCCACCCGGGAATCCCACTGGGTCCTTTCACTTGTCAGGCGAGAGCTCAAAGGTGAAGGGAAGGGGGCTTGCCACTGTTTACTTTAAAAGGGAAGCGTTCTGAGAAGCTGCTCCTCATGAAGAGCCCAATATAAATGCGAGTTGTTGTTGTTGAAAAATTGGATAGCGTAATTGTGTGGCAAACTGAGACACCGATGCCCTGTGCAAAATAATTAGTGACTGCATTTCTTGTTGACTATCGCCCCTTGCTGAGTTACGCATTTTAACAGATTCCAGGGAGGAGAATAAAAACAGAGAAAAGCAGGGAATTACAAGGAAACCAGTCCAATGTGTGCTATTCTTTGCGCTATATTATTGAAAAGGTATTCAAATTTACCAGGAAAACATTAATTATGAAATCTAAAGCCATGCATCAACTCTTCAAGAAACAGAGGAAGGAAACGAGGATAAAATAGAATTGAAATGGATTTTAAAGGATACAGAGTACAGTCTTCGTATACTTCTGTGATTCTCCACTTATTCATTATTAGAGAAACATCAGCCAAGTGCTGAGCAACTGCAGTTCAATGAGATTGCAGCAATATAAGATTTTGAGGCTTGACATTTGGATTGTGGAAGTTGTTTGCATTGGCTTTACATACATTACATACCTCTGGCTTCAACCAGCAGTTTTAAGACCTTGAAACACAGCACTATGGAGGGTGTGGGGGTGGGGAGGAGATGGGACCGCAGCTGGAAGCTTTATTCCCTTGAGAGCAAAGCTGCTTGAGACAGACACGCCAGTAGGGTACAAATTTGGCTCTCTGCCTGTGCTGGTTAGGCGATCTCATGGATGCTGGTAATAAGGGCACAACAATTACCCTTGTCTCGTAAGGAAAACATCAGCCATTGCACTGGCTCCTGATCTCTATTCAGTAAACTGCGCAAACTATGGTTTAAGATGTGATCTGAAACCGCCTCAGTTACGGCATTACTGTCCTAGATTATATGACAAACATATAATCCTTTTTTTTTGCATGTGCGGGAATCTCACAGCCAACCAGGCACTAACGGTCAGGTTGGGACAAAAGAATGACGGTAGGCACAGCTGGGTTTGTAGTATGTAAGTCATGGTCAGACAAGGTTGGATAATAACTGGGGTTGCAACCTAAAGATATTTAATGGCTGTCCTTTTGGTGATTTTTACATCCATTAGTGATTGCATAAGTCCAGAGTGATATAGTCACATGTTATGGCAGGGTTCCCGGACTAAGATCAAGCTTTACTGGGATAATTACAAAACCATTCCTGTATTCTTTGATGATTTGCCTGCATTTTTTTCTAAATACACAAATGATTGAAAATGCAGCAAGAAAATGGGGTAAAGGGCAGAATCCCCTGGAAAAAGTGCTCGGCAATTTTTTTTGCTAAGCACACACCACAGTGATCTATTTTATGTAAAAACGGTTCGCTGCACTGTTTACACGTGTAATCCCAGCAAAAGTAGCTTGTAGCTGTTTCGCTTATTTTCTTTCTTTGCCGTTCATGACACTCGCGAACATAGTTATTCTAAAAGAACAGCAACAATGGCCAGCGTAGTGTAAACGAAAAGGAACCCATCTTCCTGTTCCTCATCACTATCAGAGACTGCATGTGGGCATGAGACATTACTATATATAGTAATATATAATATAATATATGATAATACATTATAGTAATATATTATATAGTAATACATTACTATATAGTAATATATAGTATATATATAGTAATACATGAGGATGAGGAAGAAGATCAGCTGTGGTTGTGATAGTTCCCTCCACTGTCCAAGTTTATGCATGACAACTGTTGAACAACTGGGGGCCACTGCCTTCACAATTTGCTTTGAATTTTTCCCACATCTTTCCCTTTGCCTCATTTTCGCCTGCAAAATAAACAGTCAACTCACTTTACAGTATATTCTGTGAAGCGTTTTGAGACGTCTCAAAGACTCGATAAGGCGCTATATCAAATGCAAGGATAATTATTATTATTTGTTTGTGTGAATAGAAATCCCTTCAAGATTTCAGTACTTCCTTCATTCTCTCTGGGCCATGTACCTTCAATTGCTGACCATGTATCAGACCACCTGTGCTCCAAACGACTGGGAGCCAGTCAGCCAGGAGGGGCAAGGAGCTCAGTCCTGAAGACCATCATGATAGCCTGTGTTTGACATCCATTTGCACACGCTGTATAACGATGTCCAGTTGATAGAAGATCATCCTACATATGTGCCTACAATATTGTGATGCTAGAAATATTGCTGAGCAGGGATAAAGTGTGCCTCGTGTTTTAAGAATAGACATATTAACTGCTCCTATGATACCAAGGTGACAACATCCTCTATGAATTGCCCAGCAGCATGAAAATGAATTGTCTGCGAATGAGCAACATTTTCACCCAATGCACAAGGAGAAAGCTGTGGTCAAATTATTAATTGAGTCTGAAACACTTTGGATTAGTTTATTGGACTTTTTGGAAGTTGCACCAGGGAAGAAGCATCCACCATGGAGCCTAATAAGTAAAGATGCGGTTCCCACACACAATAATAATAATCGTTGTATTTAATATATTGCCTTATAACTTTGTTGAGACATCTCAAATAATAGTTATTATAATAAAATATATTATAATGTTGTTAATGTAGGAAGAAAAAAACTGGTGAAATCTTTAGACTTTTGTTGCCAGTCTACAATCTAATTTTCTTTCCTTTAATCAAAATACATTGATAAGTGAATGTTATATAAATGAAGAACTAGGTGCAGGAGAGTTAAAGACTGTAATCCAATCTCGTGGTACAAATGATGTTCAGAAATGGTTTGAGATTATTCAAATTCCTTGATTGGATTACAACCTTGGAACTTTCTCACATATCCCTCACACATCTTTTGTCATGTGTATGAAACTCTTTGGTCATAATTTCACAGAACTCCTGATATTTTATAGGGGAATTAGATGGCTGCTTGAGGAAGAAGAGTATCAAAAGGTATGGGAACGAGCAGGAGAGTGAAATGATCTTAGTAGAAAAAATGCCAGTGTAAACTTGATTGGCTGACTGTTCTATTTCTATGTTGTAACACTATGATTATGTTTTACAAAATCAAGTGACAATTTCCCCATATAATAATTTTGAAATCAGAGTCTATTTTCACGGAAACAGCGAAGTTTGAGGTGAAACCCGATGGAGATCTTGAAAATTATGAGGGTTTTCATATAGTAGACAGGGAGCAATTATTTCCACTGGTTGGTGTGACAATGACGAGAGGGTATCAATTTAACATTTTATCCTCAAATAATCCTAGCATTTGATATAGAGCCTTTCACATTGGAAAATAAATGAGGAAAATTATAGAAGTGTAGGAAGTACCAATCACTCACCTACATGTGAAGGATGTGCAGAAGGTAATATAGCATGTTTCACATGAGGAGGATTTTTCAACAGCTGACTGGGCACCTGAACAGTACATGTGGACAAAGAGGTAAGTCAGAGTTCTAAGTTCTAGATGATCTGCAGCCCATGTCCTCTCATGCACCAGCTTGTGTAAGGAGGGGCTGGGGAGTCTGGCGAGCAGGGAGTTGGATTTGTCATGCCTTAACATGATGAAGGCTTGAATGAGGGTCTCGGCAGCCTGGGGGAGAGTTAATGGTGCCGGTGGGAAAATTGCAGAGCTGGGGGAAAAGAGTGAACGGGTGAGAGCCAGGCTTAAAGGCAGTTGGAGGCAACTAGAGCAAGGAGATCCCGAGGGTGATGCTGAGCAAGGAACAGCTTTCCCTGAGTTGAATGAGGAGAGCAAACTTCTTTCTGTTTTTTGGGGGGAGATGAGCCAATGGTGCTTGGAGCATTTGCTGGTCCTTTGTGACTGGGGGGAGTGATGAGAATGTCATGTACTTGCTGGAGAGTCTGGACAGAAGGGTGAGGTTAGCAGAAGTCCCACAAAATTACATTTTAAAATTCTGGCTAATACCTTCCAGAATTTTAGGCTGGCCTCTGGTATGTTTGGAATATAAACCTCAGAAGCTAAGATATCACTCTCACTTTTGGTTACCTTTCACCTACAACATTTGAGTCCCTTCCACCTTCCCTGTGGCATTGCCTATTTGGCACTGGTAAGAAATCCAAACCCAAATGACTTCTAACCAACAATAGCAACAACAACAAATTGTGTTTATGTAGGACATTTAACGTAGGATGAATGTCCCAAAACAAGTAATGCCACAAAATTTACAAAAGAGCTGCCAAATAGAGGTATTAACTCAATCTCACAGTTCTCATGACTTTCTGCACCATGTGAGTGAAGGTCAAATTAGAATCCTTTGATTCAATTACTAGTTTGAAACTCTCTGCTAACCGTCTGTTATCTGAGGTAGAGCTTCATGGCATACATTATATGTAGAGTTTTGCAGGAGCAAATAGTCTGCATGGGACATGTTAATTAATTGCTAGCTTTCCTCAATAACTTCAATACTAAAAGTAAAAGTAAAATCAGCTTGATTCACCCACAAAATATACAGTCAATTCATTTCACAGTATATTCTACGAAGCGTTTTGAGATGTCTTGAAGATGTGATAAGGCCCTATATTAAATGCAAGGATTATTATTATTGATACATTAAAAAAGATGTCTCCCATTAAAAAAAAAGTTGGTCACTCAATCCACGACTGTTTGTGGGACTCTATTGTGCTCAATTACTTGCCCACAAAATATAGTCAATTACCTTTATATTATATTCTGTGAGCACTTTGAGACCTCTCGAAGATATGATATGGCACTATATCAAATGCAAGGATTATAATATTGTTATATACAGTTAGATTGCAGAATAAAAATAATGTACACCAACCCATCTAAATCAGGAATAGGACAGGATTCCGGAGACTCAATTCATACCTTCACAGCTTCAACTTTCCTCCCCAACATCTGCTCCATTGTCGCTCCGAAATTCTTCACCAACTCCATGCCATCTACATCTTTGATCTTTATGATTGATTCCACATCTTTGTATTTCTAGACAGAATGAGAAAAGAACTGAAGCCCATTGCATCACATTCACTCCAGTGAAACAAAGAGTCTGCATCAGGCACGTCATTGGAGCCAAAGTGTATCCAACATTGAATAACCAATTTGCAACTCATCATGAGCATGTCAATGTGTTACGTGCACTTATTAATGAGCATCCTGATGATGTCCAAGCAAATACATTTTCAGTTGATACAACAATAAAAATAATGTTTCACATAGCATTTTATAATATTGTCAAGATATTTTAAAGCACTTCACACAATTTTTACTGAAAAGTATACTGACTACCTATCAAGAGCTGGATGCTACTATAGTCACAAAACACTACTGCAGAGTAGTTTTTTTGGCTATTGTAAAAACCAGATCTAAAAATAGGTAGTCACAACACTGTTCAGTAACAATCATCTTTACAGGCACTCCACTAACCTTTCCCCATACCCTGTGCTATTTTCTTTTTCAAATAGTTGTCTAATTCTCCTTTTGAAAGATGTTATGAATTCTACTTCAACCACTGTTTTTGACAGAGCATTCCATATCCTAATAACCCTCTGTATAAAAATGTTTTTCCTTACTATTCACTTTGTTATTTTAGTAATGATCTTAAAATGTATCCCCTCTCGTTCCTAACTTATCTCACAGTTGAGCTATAGCAGTGGGAGCTTTTCTCTGCCTTTGGCACACTTTATACACACTGAAACACTCAAGCTGACACTAGATATCTAAGGTAGAAAGTTCCAATTCTTCCCACCAACGAATCCTTATTTTAATAAACAAGCCCACCCGCCAAAACAGAGCAATGAAGATTTTCTATTATGTGAGAACTAAGTGACATTCATCATTCTCTCCTGTTGGAGACTGCAGATTTCAGAACAGATTGGGACTTAGAGATCATGTACACTGTAATACGTGGAAAAAATAATCAGGCAGGACTTCAGTGATGTACCCATTCATCTATCACATACAAGCTTGCTCATAGGAAGAGATGAAATACTAAAGCAGGTTAATCCTTCAGAGGAGACATTAAACCAAGATCGCATCTGCCTCTTCAGGTGGACGTTAAAGATCCTATGGTACTATTCAAAAAGAGAAGGAATGACGACCTGATGTCTTGGCCAGCAATCCTCCAAATAAAAATGCTCATTCACTTCAGGGCTGTTTATGAACATTGATGTGGGTAACCTGGCTGCCCCATTTACCTGCATTCACTGCACTTTACAATCATGAAGTGAAGCCCTTTGACAATCTAATCAGGTGCCATATGAAATGCAAGAACTATTATAATTATTAATTTCATATTAAAGGTTTGTCCTGCCTTAAAATATATTGTGTTGTCCAAATAATAATAATAATCCTCACATTTGGTATAGAGCCTTATCATGTTATTGAGATGCCTCAAACAGAATATACTGTAAAGGGAATTGACTGTATATTTTGTGGCTGAAACGCAGCAGCCAATTGCGCACAGCAGTGTCCCACAAACAGTCGTGGATTATTATTATTATTATCGATTCTCCAGCAATCCTCATTAAGATAGTGACAGTTAATGTTGCATTTGAATTTGTGTGAACAAGAGAAATAGAATTAATCTTTTACAGACTTTTCCATTGTCGTTACGAGTGCTGATTTGCTAACATGATTGAACAAACTTAATGATGAAACAAGGCAAACATGGAAGGTTTCTTCCCTTTCATCACACAGAGAAAGCTGCAATCAACTGAAACATTCTATCTCACCACGTAGCTAAGAACCTGCAGGAATCATTTCAGTGGTAGCTGGCTAACATTATAGTTTATGTAGCACTGAAAAACACTTCATCAAACTGCCCAAAAAGCCTTCAAAAACCCACAATCTAGATTTTTCTTTTTTGTTCATGGTCTGTGGTTGCATTCTGAGTGATGGTAGGAATTATTGATAACTATAGCTGACTAATATGGGTTTATAGGCTTTAGAGCTGCAGCTTAATCCCTTCTGTTCAAAGTAGAGCAGTACTGATTTCATTCTGCAAGTGTGTCATTGCGTGTGGGACTCCTAGTGACATTAGCAATAATATACCTTAGTAAGATAGGGTAGACACGCAGAGCTAGTACAGTACTACGCTGTGCTTCCCATACAATGCCATCAATAATTAAGTGAAGGATCCAATATAGCCACATTGGATGTAATTAATTTTCTGACAACTCACATTCTTCCCAACAACCTGACATTTTGACACCACAAACTCACAAGAACAATAAATGCCATCATCAATACTGAACATCATGCTGAGCATTATAATGACTACTCAGTAATAAATAGGATACTATACTGAATACTGAAATTATACTCACCGCTGAATACTGCAATGAATGTTACAATAAAAATGACTACTAAATGTCAAATCTTACATTGAATACTAGATTGAACATAACATTGAATATTTATTACTCTGAATATTACACTATATTGAATTGAATATTGAATGCTTCACAAAAGACTGCTGTGTGCAATTGGCTGCCGTGTTTTGCCCACAAATATACAGTCAATTCACTTTACGGTACATTCTGTGAAGAGCTTTGAGATGTCTAGAAGACATGAAAAGTGCTACATCAAATGCAAGGATTATGATTTTTAAGATTTACACAGTTAATCTGACTACTGAATGTTGCAATTTTTCTAAATATTGAACACGGGATATTATTACTAAATGAGTGAAGTGGTCCATACTAGAATGGTCAACAGGGAGCGGGATTAACCCAGGAACAAAGGTCTGTTGGAATGAACTGTTGGGAGCATGTTAATGAATAGTAATTAAACTAAATATTGTGTGTTAGTGATTGAACTGAGCACTACATTGAATATCAACCACATTCAAAACTATATTATTCCAGCTCGAAATTACAGTGCATTTAATCCTTTAAAAATATGCAAACTTAGCATGTATAATTTCCTGTATGGCTCTCAGATGCTTTTGAGTTATTTTCTTTCTCTCTCTATTCCCCCTCCCTTAAATTTTTTGAATAAAATTTCTCTCTCATAGCACATTGTGATCCCATCCCAACCTAGCAGTTGATTGTAAACATTGGCAGAATTGTGACCAAAGCACCTCACTGCCCCCTCAGTTGTGCGTTCAGGCTCACAGATGTTATTCTGTGTTAAGGGCGCTAATTAAATGCAAAATTGTTGAAGTTGCAAGAAACCGGAAAAGAAGAAAGCAACCTCTGTAACTCCATATTTAAAAAAAAATCAGAATGGGATGAATAAGGTGTTATTTGGTCAGAATACTGGGCGAATCTCCCAATGTTTTCTTTTAAAATAGCACTGAAGGAACTTTATAGCCACTTCAACATGGAAAAGGAACCTTGGTTCAACTATTTTCTGAATGATAGCACCTCCGTCAATACAGCAATCCCCAGTTCTGCAAATGGAATGTCTGTTCAGACGATGAACAGATACCAGCAGATTGGAAACATAATTATCTACCTATATGACATAATCAACAGCCACAACAACAACTTGCACTTATATACCACCCTCTATGCAGGGTTGTGCCTCAGAGCGCTTAATTAGTCCTGAGGAATAATGAAGCAATCTTCTGTTTATAACCCCCTAAAGCCAATACTCAGTTTTTGATAGTTGACAAATCGCAAGTGGAACGTGCATCATTGTCACTGGCTTTTTCCAGCCCAACTTGTAAACAACAACAACAACTTGCATTTATTTTGCTCCCTTCACGCATCTCCCTGCGCCTAAAATGACAACTGTTGACAGAGATACTTAAACTTTTAACCTGAACATCCGTCATCCAGACATCGCTATTGCTTGCTGAAATTCTTTGATGAAAATGTTGAATTTGAGACACTTTATGTGGTTTACAACCACAGGAGAGATGGTCTGATGCTATATCAACGAACCATCACTGTCCCATTGCATCTGATTAGTTTCAACCTTAGTTTTAATGAAATTGAAAATAACAACATTGAATAAGATTCCAAAGTGAAAATGTAGCAAAGTGTATTGCACACATTGCTGGAATACAATAAGCAAGGCAGTGAAGAAAGCATTTGATGCAGTGGTTTATAACACTCCTGGAGCACTGCCAAGTGAAATCAAGGTAAAACACACAACACTATTAACAATGAATCAGCAAAGTAAGTTCACATCTTCCCTACATCTCACACATTTATTCAGCAGTATTGCAAAGATTTTTTTTTCTTTTATATTTTTAAGGTGTTTTTTTTTTGCTATGCTCCTCGCCGTGAAGGTTGTTATTACTGCAGAAGAAGGATATTCAACATCTATCACAATGGGGGAGGAGAGAGAAGGGAGAGGGAATACTTTCTCACCAGCCTGATGCTCTGGAAAAGGCCCCATACACATCGTCCACCTCATGCGAGATATTTGCACCTTTAATAGCACAATTAATGGAATATTGTGCAATATAGTGTTATATTTTAGATTATTCAGATACTAATTGATATGCAAGTCCAGATGTGATTCCAATGAACAAGATTTACAGTGTAGCTATTCTCTGACAGTGCCACTGCCAACATCAGCAGAGCAGCACTCAACTGTTGTGCAGATTGCAAATCGAGTAACAAAAGTGGCTATAAAAAGGCAACTTTGCAAAAACTGCATAGGTGGAACTGTATCTTTTAAAGCTGAATGATCTTCTGATCATATTCACATGCTTATTGTGTACTGAATGCTTTTCAGAATCAATTGTCAAAAATCTGTCAGTCCTCCAGTCTCAATCAATGTGTATCACATATTGTATATGCCTTCATGCGTTACATTGCTATAATCTGTCTTATCCTTTCACCAGCATCATACCATCTGTAGCACACTCAGTAAGCCTGCTCAAAAGTTACAGACTGTTGACTATATGACAACTGATGCGAGCTGCAAGTTTAAGGCGATAAGTGAAATGTTCATATTCTTCTGGTGACTGTAAACTACTCAAACTTTCCTTCTCGATTACTGAAATAAAAGCCCACTGCTTTCGTCAA